CTGAGAGCCACTGATGCCACTGTCATTTCACATCGATGTTTAAAAAATATTTTTCTTTTGTATAATCCTATACGTACTGTTTAGTACAACAGTGCAAATGAGTACAATTTATGAATAAACAAAAAAAACTTCCCAGGTTGTGGGCCACTTCTGGCCCACAACCTGGGAGTTTATCAACCATGTTCTACACTCTTGTGTAATTGCAGAAACTATAGGTACAGGATTTAGTGGGCCAATGAATAATTTACATTCTTCTGACCATTCTATATTTTCATTCTGTGAATTGTCCATATGATATGTACTACACTTAATCAATTCAATTCTATAAAAACGCTCTTCACACAATGTGTTGCTGTTAGTATAGTTATGCTTGTGTAGGACTGTTTGGGGTATTTTTCCCAGGTATGAAATCATAAAAAATCCATTAAATTTCACCATCATTATTTGGGTTGCCACCTCAGTCCAGAATGGTTAATATTTTGCTGTAACAGTTCCATGTTGTCTCCAGCAGAGGTCCTGGTCCTGGCTCTAAACACCTGTTTGCAATGCTGTTTTGTGGGAGTGATCAAATATCTCACTACATTCTTCTAGCCAAATTCTTCCAGTGTTTGAGCTGTTTTTTTTTTTTTTTACCTTTTAACCTGAACCAATTCTTTACATGTTTTATCTCTGTTATTGTCTTTGTGGTGTACTTCGGTTGCTCCCATGCAGGCTCCTGGCACTTACTTTGTCAGTTTTGATTTTGTCTTTTTCCTTTTTTTTGTCTTCCTTTCTAACTCCTTTCCCTCCCCATCCCTGTATCTGAATCCTGTGCCGTCCCTCTGCTTTGAATGCTTTCCATTTTGCTCTGTTCTGCTCTTTGACATTTTCAGTTCTGCTCTCACTCATTCACACTCATGCTGTCACGCAGTCGTACTGTCACATATGGGCATTCTGGCGTGTTAAGCTTTGGGGCATTGCTCCCACTGATTGTATAGGATGTTAATGTTACATGCGCACATTTTGTGTCTATTTCTGTTCACGAGCTCAGAGTTTGTCATTAAGCCGTAACTTTCCACACACAAGAGCAGATATTACTGAGTAGCGTTGTGTTTGTGGAAATCAAATGTTACCAAGAACAAAGGTTACAGCGACTGTAGAGCAGGTGCTTGACCTGACAAGTCAACTTTTTTTTCTGCCAGAAAGGTCAACATGACATCAGAATACAATTGGATGATGTCACTCAAACATCATCTACTTCAAATGACCCTTTAATATCACTGCAATTTCCCAGAGCCACAGGTATAAAATGATCATCTAGATCAGGCATAGGCAAACTAAGGCCCGGGGGCCAGATGCGGCCCGCCTAACATTTCCAAATTATATAATTTATTTATATTATCATTATACTACTGCCTTTTCCCTGCAATACCCACGTTTCCCCAATAGATGGTGTAGAAAATGATAAAAGCATTTTAGCGTTTTAGCTTTTATACATGACTTTTACATGTCATTTATATCTTAGTTCCCACAAACACCCCATCTAGCCCTTTATACCAGGCCTGTGGGCTTGACCCAAATGTCACTGAGCAGTTGAAGGCACAGAGGAATTTCCCCTACAGAATTTGTAGACATCTTACAGTTGTTGTGTTAAATTGATGGATTATGTAAGGATATTACGTCCAGCAGATTACGATGATAACACTCTGAGATCCAGGCCAGTATAACTCAGTGGTTACTGAACATTTTCTATGGAGACTCACCACGTCAAGATATTCAAACCTGTCAATAAAACAATCAAAACTTTCTTCAATATTTAATTTAATTTTAAGGAAACAAAAGAAACACGTCACTTTAATTTTAAGGAAACAAAAGAAACACAGTTATAAATCAGTGCAATTTTCACACTGTGACAATTAAAGAAAATTCTTTAGTTCTCCAAACTTGCCTTTCAGGACTTGGCAGACACACACTAAAGTGACGTGTGCACCGAAAGCTTGATGAAGTCAAATTTGTTTAATATGTCACTTTTGTGGCTGTTTTCCAGTTCTAACTCTGTTGTGATTTTTAGGTGGATTCAAGTACAGTATATTTTATATTATCTGAGCATATAATTGTGTGTGAGGGACTCACAGCGCTCCATCATTGACGTTTTTACCCATGACTGAGCCTGATGATTGGTTTTCCATGTACAATAGGATTTGTTTTAGTGCAAAAAACAGCAAACGTTTCTTAATCCGGAATTTAGATTTTCTGCGATGTCTCTCACATAGTGTGTAGTCATGCATATGTACTCCAATCAGCAGAACTGTCTGACTTGTTTTCTTTTTCAAAGTGTGTTAAGACTCTCCCTCCCATCTCTCCCTCCTTTTTTTGCTCTCTCTTTCTCTTCACTAAAACCGAGACCGAATTCCTAGAAATGGACAGTTTGCGTCTTCTGCTCTGCTCCACGTCCTCATACCACAGGGCAACAGTTCTGTTGAGTTTATAAAACAACAATTATTATTATCTGATGAATACAGTATGTCAATCATAACAGTGTAGTGTAAGCAGTTCAGAAAACAACATTGACTTTTGTTTACCTAAAAATAAAAAATAAAACAGATTTTCCTTTATTTTCTATTGCTCTTTCCTACACACACACACACACACACACATATATATATGCCTGTGTCCTGTATAGTTTTGTGGATGTTACACCCAATGCATTTGAAATTGCCCAACTATGAAATTAATCTGATAATCATTTAGCTTGACTGACCTTACGGTTTTTATTCTTATGTCACAGGTGATGTCATCGTCTACATTAATGACATCTGTGTTCTTGGCACCACACACGCCGACGTTGTGAAACTCTTTCAGTCTGTACCCATTGGTCAGAGTGTCACTCTTGTGCTCTGTCGAGGATATCCTTTGCCGTTTGACCCAGAGGACTCCAGTGGAGCAGCGGGCACTTCTCTGACGCCAATAGGCATGGAACACTGCCCTCTGGTGGTGAATGGGCGAAGCAGCTATGACCCATACCTTGAGTATCTGTCATTGAGCTCTCAGCTGCCTCCTCAGGCTCTGGCCCAAGCTGGAGCACACCACCCCGGAGACACTCATCTGGACGGCTCATCACTGCCGCCCACCACCCCCGGCTCAGCCTCAGCCCTCACACCTCATGACGACGTGTCCATGGCGTCCTCGGGCACTGCAGGAGTTACAGGCACAACAGCTCAAGGAGCTGAGCTGCTCACAGTTACCATGGTGAAAGGGGCGGAGGGATTTGGTTTCACCATAGCTGACAGTCCAACTGGTCAGCGAGTTAAACAGGTGACGTATCATGACTTGGCTGTGCGTTTGTTTGTTCTGACCATGTCATCACTAGTCAATGAACATGGTGAAGATGTTTTTGAAACCGGCGGCCTGGTGAGGGGAGGTCCACACACATAACTAAACAGAATTAAATGAGTCATATATTATTTAATTATTTCAGAAATAATGAATTATGATGATAGTGTTTGAGATTCTACACTTTCATTTATAATGTTATTACATAACAGTTTGGAAAAAGGCAGATAGATGCAATTCCCAAAAAGAAAGAAAATATTTATTATAGGCATGTACTGCAGTTAGAGATGCAATGTTTTTTTTTGTTTGTTTGTTTTGCTGATTCTGATTGACAGCGTATAAAAAAAGTTAAAAGTTAAAATATTTCCAAAAAACTAAACTCAGTCTCACCTTTCAAAATAAAGTGCTTGGTGACTGAAATTAAATACAGTATAATTTATGTGTATAAATAGAAAATGTGTTGAGTAGTGGTTCAGTAGTTTGTTAAACACAAAATTGACTGTATATCTAAGAAGAGTAGAACTTTCTAACCTTTTATATTGTTAACATATAAAGTTCAGAATAAAACCATAAATGCACCTTTTAGAAAATATCATCAATACATACGCTATCGGAGTCAAAGTTAATAAACGTGTTCAGTGAAGAACCCAAGTTTCTTTATGTACTTAAGAAACATTACAAGTGTGTCTCTGTGGTGCAGGTGCTGGAGCCAGGCTCACAGGGAGCATCGGGGTTGATAGAAGGCGACCTGATCCTGGAGGTGAACCAGCAACCTGTGGCTGCAGCAGGACATGGACAAGTAGTAGATATGCTGAAAGAGTGCCCTGTGGGAGCTGAGGCTACGCTGGTTATACAGAGAGGAACAGGTGAGAGACTCTTTGGCAACGGGGAAAAGAGGTGAAGTTAATCTTGCTGTTAGCTGTAGTGCAACTCTGTGGGTTGGGCTGGAACCAATTTAATCTTTATTGTCCACCCACTGTGGAAAATAATCTACAACCCTATAGCTGTGTTTAAAAAAAACAAAAAAAAAAAACAATTCTTGATCATCACCATTTTAATTTTAATTTAGACAAAAACACAGAGGTGGCACTCTAACTCCTTTTACCTGAATGCTCGGTCACCTGCTAGCAAATATAATTGCACAGCAAACAGTTAATTTGTTCTACATGTGCTTCTGCACTTATTTTCTCCAAAGTGATGTGGTCACAGGGTGAAATTTAACCTGGTAATTAGCTGCTGCGTCTGCTTTCCGCTGAGCCTGTAGTCATTCCATACAAATCTGTCAGTCATGGAGCCATTTAAAGAGATGACATCTGCAGATGCACTCCTGTGGTTTATGTGGCACCCAGCGGCTTTTGACAAGATTTAGTCATAAGCCTTAAGCGTTTTTCAACAATAAGTTGCCTGAAGCTAGCTTTAAAGTGTAATTGTTTCTCAGATGATAACAGAGCAAGAAAGTAGATGGATTATAGATATGCATCAGCTGTATGCGTTATTTACAATCACAAAACATATGAGCAATCAGCCATGGGCATCATGGGTAAACATCAGAGCCTGACAGGGATTGATGTTTCACGCCTGAACAAAACAAACCTTTCACTGCAGGTACATCGTCCACATGCTGGGCTGAAGTTGGTATGAGTTGGCACTGCTGAAATGATGACACTTCAGTTGTCTGTAGCTCCTTGGCCACTATATCAAAATGTCTTTTGATATTTGCATGTTAAATTTGCTTATTTAAAGTTTTTTTTTTTTTGGAGACTATTAAGCAGCATAGATTAATTCACATATTATCTTCATTAAAAACATGATCCAAATAATGATGAGTGATCTGATCTACACAGGATGTACAGGACCCTAACCCAACCCTTTAGGACCCAAGGCTGATGAGAAGCAATCTCTTCAGAAGGTCATTAGTTGTAGAGGCTACAGCAGGCATAGGCAATCTAAGGCATGGGGGCCAGATGCGGCCTGTTTAGCTTTTTAATCCGGCCTGCCAAACTTTTCCAAATGATATGGAAAAACTGGTAATGCTATAGGACAGTAAAATAAGATGTTTTTCTAAGCAGAAATAAACTGTTAGATCGATACAGTATGTGTGCATATTTAGATCTGTTGCAATGAAGGGAACTCTGCCAGACATCACTGAGCAAAGCTGCTCACTGCGCTTTCTCTAACATCCATCCAAAAGTCAGCAGGCTAGTCTGCAATGCCATCCTGCCATACTCCCTAACCAATGACTCGTGAGAAATGCAGTGTGAAGGGCTGTGAGAGAGCCAGACGTCTGTGTCAGTGTAACTCTTACGAAACGGTGCAGGATCCAAGATGGCCCCACATGGCTGCTGGAGGACATTGTTTACCATTTACTGCACCTTGGTCTCGGTCTCTTGTTTTCTGGTTATGAGGAATCATAAACTCTAGGTTATGTCATAAAGTGTTAAAGTCATTAAGAGTCTGTTAAACTGAAGCCTCGCTGCCTCCTGCTCTCAAACAAAAAAGCACTGCAGAACTGCAGTTCTCTCGTTAGGTATTGTAATATACGTTGGTTAGTTTGACCTCTTTTATTAGAATGCACTTTTGTGTCTAGTGTCCATTGGCTGATGCAATGAAGTGTGAGGGGCCCTGTTGTATGAATTAAATCATATTGTTCCTTAAGAGTAGTTAATCTACTGTTATATAGAAAAAATGATCAAATGAACAAACAACACACGTGTTCAAAGAAAACAAAGCACAGAGCAGAAACAGGTAATATTTCAACGAATAATAATTAATGAAAAAAATATTTAATAATTTTTTATCAGTTTATAGCAATTTCATGCGACCCCGTGTGGGGTTGCGCCCCCAAGGTTGACAAACACTGGCCTAATACAGAGTAAACCCTTCACCTGGCCCTCAGCAGCGCCACCTGTTGGATATCTTTGATTCAGTGGAGTCTCAGGGGAGCTTTGATGTTGAGCTTCTCCGGAAGCACTTCCTTTATTGTTATATGCAAAAAATATTGCTAAGTAATACATTTACATATGTTTAAGTGCGGGGGTGTCCGTGAGCTGCCTGCAGCAAATGATGTAATTATGTTGAAAACAAAAGCAACAGCCACACTTTACAAATCATCTAAAAAGAGAAATATTTTGTCATCAGATCCAATAAGAACAAGCTGGAAATACAAAAAAAAAAAAGTAGATTTAATAATTACAAATTTACATTTACATCCCATGTGTATAAATTTATTTCTTTTAGTATATCTATTCAGTGATCTCCTTCTCCTCTTTCTTCTCCTCCCCCAGGCCACATCTCTCCATGGAAAGCCTCCAAACAGGTACGTAAACTAAGTGTGTGTTTTTGGCTAAAGGGGGTGCAAAGAGAAACTATCCATTTATGATCTGTTTGCTGAAGCACTAGGTAAAAAGATCAGTGTTTGTCTCTTCTTCACCTCCAAGGTGTTAGACTTTAGTTTCATTTTTGGAAAGACTCAGCCTTCTGTGACCTGCTCTTCCACAGAAATGTTCCATGGGTTGAAAATAGAGAATGTAGGTGGCAGTAATGCACAAATTTAGCTTTGTGCAAATCAATATATTAAACAAGTACAACTCAACAAAATAGGACGTTTAATTTGCATTCAATGGTCAGGGAGTGCAGTTATATGCATTGTTAGGTTCTGCCTCTAGGTGAGAAAAACAGTTTGCAGCTTTAGAAAAATAACAAATCAACAAAGTGTATGTTTTACAGCATGTATCCCTTTCAAAGGTCTAAAACAACGAATTGCAGAGAGAAAAAGAATCCCACTCCACAAAGCGTTATAAAGTATTCTAATTATAGCTGTCAATCAAACTGCACCGCCTCATAACCACAGCCTGTCCGTCTTTTATCAGCTTTTATTATGATCCCAGAAGTCAATACTTCAAGTCTAGACTACAAGATTACATGTTTTTAAACAAAAATATTCCTCATTCATACAGTACTCTGCAAGTATTTAAAGAAAATGCTGAGTACTATATGGCCGTTCTTACTGGTATCTTTGTGTAAAAGCTGTTTGCGCTCAAACAATATTGCAGTTTCTTGGTGTTACATGTTGTTATTTATTTACAGCTTACAGATCACTGGGACCCACACGGCAGCCCACAGCCACACCTGTCAGGCCCAGTCCTGCCTCCTGGCACACCCTTCCCAAACCAACCACAGCACCGCACCTCGGTGCCAGACTCCACCGAAGGCTTTGACCTGATCAAACCTGACCCGTATGACCTCTACGAAAAGTCCAGGGCAATCTACGAGAGCCGACGTGAGTGACCATCATGTGGTTTAAGTCGCACAGTACACATACTGTGGTTAATTGATACTAACCTGCCCTGTATGTGTTGAAGGTCCAGAGTACGAGGAGGTGGAGGTACACCTGTTGAGGGAGAAGACAGGGTTCGGCTTCCGCATCTTGGGCGGAGATGAGGCTGTGCAGGCTGTGAGTCCGGACGCCCGTGACAAGGCTCGTATGGGACGGGCTCAAGCACACATATATTTGACTCTATGCCCACCAACCTTGTTTGCCCTGCTCCTAACTTCAACACACACATCTATTCACAGCTAATATACGTAGCAACATATCTTAAAATCAAGACAGACTTCAATAATGGGCAGCCTCTGGATCGTCCATACCTCTCCTAGAGGTGACGTGTACAAAAGACACAGAACAAGTTAAATCTGTGTGTATTCAATGTGAAGGTGTATTAAGTTCAAGCCAGTCAGAAAAGCCAGAGATCGGTCCAAACATTACGACCTCTGGTCCAAATGTGGAACAGTTTCTCCTTTTGCTGCCATTTTCATTAATCTATTAGTGACACAAAACGTTTGAGTGAATAAGACAAGGAGAGTGAAGTAAAGCGAAAGTACTCTCATTTATAATACTGTCAGATATATTTAATTTCAAATGGAAACAGTATTGTTGATGTTGTTAATGGTTTCCAACTTTTTTTGGCTTGTGATTCCATTTCAACATCATTTTTTTAGAAATAATTTTGATCGTGTTTGTTATACTGTGTTGCAAATACGGTATATACTATATAATTTTAAAAAGAATAATTAGTTAAAAAAACAGGCCGTGGGCCATACCTCGCCTCAATGCCTGGTCTGTGATCTATAATATATACCTTTTTCTTTTACTGCCTTCATTTTAAGGAACATTTAAATGAGTAGTGTTTGTGTCAGCAGCCCTCTGTCTGTCCATCTTTGAGATCATTTACAAGAAAAAGAAACGCTGCAGCCTGAAAGTATTGACTTGACGACCTTGGCATTCTTTTTAAACCAACTTAGGAATGCTGCCACCATCTGTTAGGTAATGGCCTCTCCTGCAGGGGGCTAAATGGTGGTGTCGCATCAGCTGTAGGTTTTGTGTTCAGTAAGAGTTAATTTCTTGTTATACCAGCACTTCTCAAGTAGTGGGGCGGGCCCCGCTCAGGAGGCACAGTGAGGTGCCAAGAGGGGGCATGAGAGGCTGCTGCTGTAATGCTTGAATGATAACAAGCCTCCAGCCACTAGGTGGCAGCAATTCATACAGTGGTTTGTACAGATAAAAAATGTTATCAGGTTCTAAACAGTATTTCAAATGGGGGATGGGGAAGGGACAGAAAAGTATTGAGAACCACTGTGTTAGACACATGCTAACCAAGATTTTACTGATTTGTTAAACTAACCACACACTACCCATATGAAATGTCGCCTTACTAACAGTCTAACGGTGTAAGTGGATTTACGCCGCTGTCCTTCTTTCATACCAGAATCCCATCCTCTTCATCATTATCTATACTGCTAATATTGATCTGTCTTTGAACAGATTGTAATTGGTGCCATCATAGAGAACACACCTGCGGAGCGTGACGGGCGTCTGCGACCTGGAGATGAGCTGATTTCTGTGGATAAAAATGTGGTTGCTGGGCAACCGCACAAATATGTCATCGACTTGATGCATGCGGCTGCTCGTAACGGACAAGTTAGCCTGACTGTGAGGAGGAGAGTTCAAGCACCTGGTGAGGAGGACATGTTTATATGTGAGCTTTCTTTTGTCCGTTTCTTTGTTTGTTTGCTCATTTTCTACACGTCAGAGAACGTGCTTAACATTTCAGGGACAGCACATTAGAGTCTTCATAAAAGGTAAATAAGGGCACTTGAAATTGACAAGTTATTTCAGTGAAAAAGGGAAATAAATGTTGGATAATAAGCATGAGACAGCTCATGTTTGTGTCTGTGCTGTTTCCAGTGTTTAAGAACCGTCCCCACAGAAGAGGAACGTCGGATGACGATTGTAGGACTTGACTATGGATCTGTTTGATGTCTGCGGTCGTACTGATCTGCTGCACTCCTCCATGTGGTTTCAGGTGAACCATGTCCCGTGAATGGCCGGAGTCCTGGTCCAGTGTCTGCTCAGCACAGCTCCCCTCACAGCGATGCAGCCTCAGCTTTAGCCTCAGCAGCAGCAGGCCCCGCCCCGTCTTTTATCAGCTTTTATTATGATCCCAGAAGTCAATACTTCAAGTCTAGACTACAAGATTACATGTTTTTAAACAAAAATATTCCTCATTCATACAGTACTCTGCAAGTATTTAAAGAAAATGCTGAGTACTATATGGCCGTTCTTACTGGTATCTTTGTGTAAAAGCTGTTTGCGCTCAAACAATATTGCAGTTTCTTGGTGTTACATGTTGTTATTTATTTACAGCTTACAGATCACTGGGACCCACACGGCAGCCCACAGCCACACCTGTCAGGCCCAGTCCTGCCTCCTGGCACACCCTTCCCAAACCAACCACAGCACCGCACCTCGGTGCCAGACTCCACCGAAGGCTTTGACCTGATCAAACCTGACCCGTATGACCTCTACGAAAAGTCCAGGGCAATCTACGAGAGCCGACGTGAGTGACCATCATGTGGTTTAAGTCGCACAGTACACATACTGTGGTTAATTGATACTAACCTGCCCTGTATGTGTTGAAGGTCCAGAGTACGAGGAGGTGGAGGTACACCTGTTGAGGGAGAAGACAGGGTTCGGCTTCCGCATCTTGGGCGGAGATGAGGCTGTGCAGGCTGTGAGTCCGGACGCCCGTGACAAGGCTCGTATGGGACGGGCTCAAGCACACATATATTTGACTCTATGCCCACCAACCTTGTTTGCCCTGCTCCTAACTTCAACACACACATCTATTCACAGCTAATATACGTAGCAACATATCTTAAAATCAAGACAGACTTCAATAATGGGCAGCCTCTGGATCGTCCATACCTCTCCTAGAGGTGACGTGTACAAAAGACACAGAACAAGTTAAATCTGTGTGTATTCAATGTGAAGGTGTATTAAGTTCAAGCCAGTCAGAAAAGCCAGAGATCGGTCCAAACATTACGACCTCTGGTCCAAATGTGGAACAGTTTCTCCTTTTGCTGCCATTTTCATTAATCTATTAGTGACACAAAACGTTTGAGTGAATAAGACAAGGAGAGTGAAGTAAAGCGAAAGTACTCTCATTTATAATACTGTCAGATATATTTAATTTCAAATGGAAACAGTATTGTTGATGTTGTTAATGGTTTCCAACTTTTTTTGGCTTGTGATTCCATTTCAACATCATTTTTTTAGAAATAATTTTGATCGTGTTTGTTATACTGTGTTGCAAATACGGTATATACTATATAATTTTAAAAAGAATAATTAGTTAAAAAAACAGGCCGTGGGCCATACCTCGCCTCATGCCTGGTCTGTGATCTATAATATATACCTTTTTCTTTTACTGCCTTCATTTTAAGGAACATTTAAATGAGTAGTGTTTGTGTCAGCAGCCCTCTGTCTGTCCATCTTTGAGATCATTTACAAGAAAAAGAAACGCTGCAGCCTGAAAGTATTGACTTGACGACCTTGGCATTCTTTTTAAACCAACTTAGGAATGCTGCCACCATCTGTTAGGTAATGGCCTCTCCTGCAGGGGGCTAAGTGGTGGTGTCGCATCAGCTGTAGGTTTTGTGTTCAGTAAGAGTTAATTTCTTGTTATACCAGCACTTCTCAAGTAGTGGGGCGGGCCCCGCTCAGGAGGCACAGTGAGGTGCCAAGAGGGGGCATGAGAGGCTGCTGCTGTAATGCTTGAATGATAACAAGCCTCCAGCCACTAGGTGGCAGCAATTCATACAGTGGTTTGTACAGATAAAAAATGTTATCAGGTTCTAAACAGTATTTCAAATGGGGGATGGGGAAGGGACAGAAAAGTATTGAGAACCACTGTGTTAGACACATGCTAACCAAGATTTTACTGATTTGTTAAACTAACCACACACTACCCATATGAAATGTCGCCTTACTAACAGTCTAACGGTGTAAGTGGATTTACGCCGCTGTCCTTCTTTCATACCAGAATCCCATCCTCTTCATCATTATCTATACTGCTAATATTGATCTGTCTTTGAACAGATTGTAATTGGTGCCATCATAGAGAACACACCTGCGGAGCGTGACGGGCGTCTGCGACCTGGAGATGAGCTGATTTCTGTGGATAAAAATGTGGTTGCTGGGCAACCGCACAAATATGTCATCGACTTGATGCATGCGGCTGCTCGTAACGGACAAGTTAGCCTGACTGTGAGGAGGAGAGTTCAAGCACCTGGTGAGGAGGACATGTTTATATGTGAGCTTTCTTTTGTCCGTTTCTTTGTTTGTTTGCTCATTTTCTACACGTCAGAGAACGTGCTTAACATTTCAGGGACAGCACATTAGAGTCTTCATAAAAGGTAAATAAGGGCACTTGAAATTGACAAGTTATTTCAGTGAAAAAGGGAAATAAATGTTGGATAATAAGCATGAGACAGCTCATGTTTGTGTCTGTGCTGTTTCCAGTGTTTAAGAACCGTCCCCACAGAAGAGGAACGTCGGATGACGATTGTAGGACTTGACTATGGATCTGTTTGATGTCTGCGGTCGTACTGATCTGCTGCACTCCTCCATGTGGTTTCAGGTGAACCATGTCCCGTGAATGGCCGGAGTCCTGGTCCAGTGTCTGCTCAGCACAGCTCCCCTCACAGCGATGCAGCCTCAGCTTTAGCCTCAGCAGCAGCAGCCGCCGCCGCCACCTCACCTGCAGAGGGATCAGCACTGCAGACCAGTGACGTGGTCATTCACCGCAAGGAGAATGAGGGGTTCGGTTTCGTCATCATCAGCTCTCTGAACAGACCGGAGAATGCCACCGTCATCAGTAAGTTGGTTTTTTTTTTGGAATTGGAAGCCATTTCACAGAAAGTGACACAACAGAATGATAGACTTTCATTTCCCAAATGTCAACCCACCCAGTTCAAGGGAGTTCAACTGTCACACCCAGGGAGATGTTAAAGATTCAATATGGTTTAAGAGAGGATTCAATATTCATTAATACTGTATGTATGTCACACAATACAGTAGGGGTTTTCTCCAATATTTCACAGCAATGGTGGTTTTTTTATTCTTTTTATCCTAGACAGTCCATTTACAGTCAGAAACACCAGGATGGGTCTAGCTTCAAGTTCAATGAGTGCTGAATGGAGGAGAACAATGGGAGAGATATTTTTTAGTTGTTCACAGATGTAATGTTGCTACAGATGTGTGAGGCTGTTCGACCATATAATGAAGGTTCTGATAAGGTGCTATAGGCTCTGTGGGCCACGACGTATGAAGATGACATTGTCATCCGTGGAAGAGGACCTGCAGAGGAGGAGGCAGAAGAATCGAGATATGAGTGTGTTCAGGTGAAACTAAGGCAGGCAGAAAAGGGAGAATTTATTAGAGAGAGTGTGAGACCTGTAGTGTAGTGAGACCTGCTATGATGTACGACAGTGGCTCTGTCAAAAAGGCTGAGGTTCAGGCGATGGAGTCGGAGATGCTGAGATTTTCACCGATAGTGAGCGCGATGTACAAGATTAGAAATCAGCAGATTAGAGGATCAGGTAAGGTTGAGCCGGTTGGAGATAAAATGTGAGGTCAGGTGAGGTCGAGATGGTTTGGACATGTTGTCAGGTAGAGACAATGGATGTCAGAGACTGAGCTGTCAGGGAGCACAGAGAAAATGTGTGGCTGTAGCAACAGAGGACATGGGGATAGTTGGTGTAACAGTAGAGGAGGAAAGAGACAGGCAGATGAAGGCTATGGCGCCCCCTGAAGGGCGCAGCTAATAGAAGTGACAGAAGAGAAATTCTGCCAGTGGCCAGTGTTTCACAAGCCACTACAGACAAACCTTTTGATACAAGACTACCTGCTTTGTTATTACCCAGCATGCTTCGTCTCCTCATTTGACAAATGAGGAGATGATGTAGCTGGAATCGCACTGTCAATGAACAGTATGTAGTAACTTGATGTATTGTTTAAAAGACTGGGGAGTTTATTGTGAGTAATTTAGCAATTTATCATTTTCAACATTAGCTTGAGTTGTACTCATTACTATGATAAAGCAGATAGCTGAAAAAAATGTTCAACCAACAAAGAGAGAAGAACCAACAAAGTTATACATTTTGTAAAAAAAAAAAAAAAACCTAAATTTACTTTGTCTTCCTCATGTGAGTTGACAACCTCTTTACTGTTGGACATTCCCAGCTGTACCCCATAAAATAGGCCGGATCATCGAGGGCAGCCCTGCAGACCGATGTGGGAAGCTGAAGGTGGGAGACCGGATCCTGGCGGTGAACGGACAGTCTATCATCAGTATGCCCCACGCAGACATTGTCAAGCTTATTAAAGATGCCGGACTAACAGTCACACTACACATCATACCAGAAGAGGGTGAGACTTCTGTCCAGCTTTGGTGTAAAGTGACTCTTTGTAGCTGTCAAATTTTAGACTTACGGAATCCTGGACTCGATTTTCCCAGAGATTTCTTTCTTTTTTTTTTTTTTACCTAAATTTTACCTTCTGTGAACCTCAGGTTCCCAATCTGGTCCCAGCTCTGAGAAGCAAAGCCCCATGACCCAGAAACACAGCGTACAGACCCAGCCCAGCCCTGTAGCCCAGCCCAACCAAGGAGGCGCCCAGCCTGGCCAAACAGCTCCTCAGCCTGGACAGACAGCCATACACACAAGTCAAGCACCTGCGCAGCCGGGCCAGACAGTCACTCAGACCAACCAAACAGTAACTGCATCAGCAGCCCCCCATCCTGCACCAGCTGGAAACCAGCAAAGTCCAGTCAGCCAGCCCTCGGGCCTCCCTCCACAGCTTTATCTCCATGATGGCAGGTAAGACGTCTGCTGAGAGGGATGTTCTACATGGACTCCCCCGCAACATGATTGGTAATTCACTAAAGAACCTTCGAGTCAACAACCAGAGTAAAATGCTTATAGATACATCTGTGCTATAAGCCAGGGGTTCTCAACCCCTGGTCCATGGATGAAATTTGGTAGATGAAAAGGAAACCAAAGAAAATAACAATTATTAATATGTTACCGTAATGACCTGTGAAAATATAAGTATGAAGGTGTGCGGCACCATTTTCACAAGGTTTTTGAATGTCATACGCCACACTTCCCAGGTTGTCAGTGTGTTGTTGCACAGATCAAAACACTGCATCGCTGTGTCACTTTTTTAATTTCATGTGTCTGCAGCATCAAAATCTAAATTACAGTATGTCCTCCTCCTCCTCCTCCTGCTCCTACTTCTTTAGTGTAAAATGTTTTTGACCCAAAGCTCAAGCTTCACTGTTTTGATCAATTTCTTTTGTCAACCCACATGTAGTAGTTTGTCATAATGTAATTAAATTGCAAGCTCTGAAAAATACAATGTAATCAGAGAAAAGCAGAGCCACAGTGATGGGAAACATCAGGGCTTCAGTGTAAATGATTCCTTTATTTCTGATGACACATCATGGATATTTTTATACCAGTTATGCTGTTCTTTCTTTTTTAAATTAATTGTATGCATGTCACGGCTATGAAAAGGACGCAATAGCATTTAGCAGTAAATGTTTGAACAGTGACCTCTGTCTGTTAAAGCTGTTAGAACATAAACGCTCAGTCGTCGTCTGTACCTGTGTGAGTTTCTGCCACGGCATGTCGACTACATTTTCAACCAGAGTGTAATTACCTTTTTTTTCTTTTCTTGAACAGCTTTGGCTGCACACTCGTTACTTTCCCAAAGAAAACTCTGCTCACCTTCATTATGTGACGAATTCCTCCTCTCACGTGTAGTCCTTCAAATGTTCAACTCTGCTTTTTAATATTCTCACAGGTCAGAGGTAAAAGCCAGGCAGGATGTCAAACCTGACTTCCGTCATCCTCCATTCACTGATTACAGGCAACCTCCGGTAGATTATCGCCACCCACCAATCACTGACTATCGCCAGCCCCCCACACTGGACTACAGACACCCGCCTGGTCTGCTGGACTTCAGACAACATCCTGCAGCAGCGCAGTTTCCTCTCGGAATTTCGACTGATTTCAGACCACAGGTGAGACGAGCAGCTGATGCTTAAACCAGCGCTAAATGAATTTGCGGTTGTTTTTTTCATAGAATAACTATTTTTTGTTTATTTTAATTTTACTGCAGGACTTTGACTACTTCACAGTGGAGCTGGAGAAAAGTGCAAAAGGGTTCGGCTTCAGCATCCGTGGGGGCAGAGAGTACAAGATGGACCTGTTTGTTCTACGCCTTGCTGAGGACGGTCCTGCCATACGCAATGGCAGGATGAGGGTAAGTAGACGAGAATTGAATGAAATGCCTGTGATATACTCCTGTGACTGATGCATAACAGTTTGTATCAATTTGAATACAAATATGAAGTAATGATTAGTTGAATAATGACATGGCCAAGTGAGACTGAGGGTTTAAAGGTTACATTTATCACCACATGTAATGTAATCCAGGTCCACCTCCTGCATTAGAAGTTCAGAGGTTTCTTCTTGTGACCGTAGTGTTCTGTGTATATTTCAGTTCTACAAAGCGGTCAGAGAAGGCAACAATAGAACAGATTGTCAAAAAACAGGTTTAATGAAGATAATTAACCAATGTTTCTGCTTACATTGAGCTTACAAAGCTTTGACCTGGAATAATGTTTTCCAACTTTTTTGAGCCCTTGTGTATATTTTACATTAGAAAGCCAATTTATTCACAATTCATTTACCTAGCATGATAACGGTGCCTGTTTAGTTGAACAAAGCACTAGGTGGCGCTGAGTAGTCCACTGACAGTCTGTGAGTTTTGACTGAGATCACTGACCTGTGTGACCTTCTCTTCTCCCTACAGGTGGGGGATCAGATCATAGAGATCAATGGGGACAGTACTCGAGAAATGACACATGCCCGTGCCATTGAACTAATAAAGGCAGGAGGCAGGCGGGTCCGGCTGCTGCTGAAGAGAGGAACCGGTCAGGTGCCAGAGTATGGTGGGTTTCTCTAACACAGGCTCCCGAGTTAAAATACTGTTGTTAAATGACCTTTAACACACACTGTCTCTCTCTCTCTCTCTAAATTCCCTTTTCTTTCCAACTGTGCACTGATTTGATCTCTTCCTCTTTCTCCTGTACTAAACATTATTTGCTTCAGGTTTTGTATCTGTTTGACAAATTAAAACCCTTCTAATATTTTCTTTTCACTGAAGAACCTATTGTCATGCACTGATAACTCTCTGAATTAAAAACCTGTCTTTTCTGTCCTTTTTCGTGTGAAATGAGCAGCTGCTCTTTTACCTTCATGTGTTTTAACCCCTCTGCTCTAAGTCTAATGATTGGTATAGGGTTTTACCTGCCTTTCCTTCAGGAATGGTTCCTCCCAACCTCTCCATGTGCATGAAAGGTGACACACTAAGCTCCCCTTATTTCTTCCTAATGGGCCACTCTAAAGACACGGTTTGTGAACGACTGCACGTTTCCCTCTTCATTCTGATTCATCTGTGCACTGACTCCAGGCATGCATTAATGTGCGCATGTTCTATGTGAGCAAATAGCAGTTGTTTGTGTGTCTTTTGAGCCTTGGAAAAAAATTGCGTTGAAAATGACCTTGCGGCTAAAATTGTGATAAGCTGAAGTGGAGTGTGTAAGATCAGGCTGCTCTGAACAGAAACAATGTGTTTTTAGTTGTGTGGTAATCTCTCTACAAATAATCAAGATCTTGAAAGTACTTCACTAGCTCACTTTAGTAGTCGGCATGTTAAACCTAAGCTAATGCCAGGACATGACGTGATGTGTTTTTTCAGTTCCTCGTTGTAGCATGTGCATGCTGCTTGGCCACTGTTTCCCCTCAGCCCACGTGAGCTAATGTTTCTCTGTCACCGCAGACTGTAGCGGCCCCTGGGATTACCTTTCTACAGCCCACCCTGCCATGCAGGAAGTGACCTTCGAGCCCCACCCGAATCCATTGCGCTCATCCCTAGACTTCCCTCATCAACTCCACCTAGAGGCCACGGTGTGCATGGCGGACAAAGCTTTGCAGCTGACAGAGCACGGCTCCATTAGAGGGGCTATAGGTGGCAGGTCCACCCAGCAGAAGAGCCTCGTCAGGGGTCAAGGAACGCCTCAGGGCCCAGCGGAGGTGGACTGTGTCGCGAGCAACGAGCAGCCTCTGGCTCTGCCTCCTAAAGCTGTCCTGGGGAGGTCAACTGAAACACGGGAGAGGCAGAAAGAAACTTGTTCCCCCTGCTGTGACAAAAAGGTTTTACACACACAGGCAATGAGCGCCATCTGGCCGTGGGACGCATATATTAGTGTGAATTCCAATGAAGCCCCTCCGGCTGGTGGTGAGGGACATGTCGGCCTCCAGGAGAGGCTTGTGTCCAGAGGTTCGTTGTCCAGAGAAGAAGAGAGGACCAGTGGCCATGGTGGTCTCTGTTGCCCCTCTAAAATTTTGGATGATCCAGCTGCTTCCCCTGCGCCCTGGAGTGTTCCTGAGTCCTATAAACTGCCTGGCACTCTGAGGTCCTGGACCTCCACAGTAAGCAGGTAGAATGGATCTAACTGGTTTAAACTGGATTACACTGTGTGGCTCCGTATTCATTTCAGCATCAAGAGGAAAGTTCTTCATCGCTCCTTCTTTGTGCCCTCCGTTCTTTTTCACGTTCCACCCTGATTTAATGCTCTCTTTTGAGTTAGATTTTCAGTTGAGATGATTATTACACCAACAACCTTAAAACAAAAGAACATTCACAGTTATTGTAACATACAGTACAGAATATAAGGTCGCTACTCAGCATGACGGTGTTTCTGGACCCTCAGCCACAAAACCTGTTGCTCTGATCAAAGACGGCACGGCAACAATTGGTTCTGAAGTGGAACTTTAACTCCAACATACCTGACGGTGGAAAAGAGAGAGGCACTCTCAGCCGAGAGGTCAACTAGCGTCCTGTTTCCTGCAGACGACAGATCTGTCGGTCGGAGAAAGTAAAAGACAAAAACTCCTAGTGACGACCTTGTCGGCCCAGCATTCATTAAGATCCTACACGCCTAAAAATATATCATATACTGTAAATGTAAAAATGTGAAAATATGTACATTTGGTAAAGTCAGAAGCATACCTGTCTGTGTTGTTTTATTTTTTAAGGCCTTGTTCTCAGTAGAAACGGGCAGAGGAGTTGACAGGGCAGGATCTCAGCATCAGTCTGTCCACGGCCTGACCTGTAGTACATATCAAAGACAGACAGTCACCAAACACAGGCTGCTCGTGTGAAGCAGTGCTTATATGCATGGATGTAAACCATCACGTCAGTACACAAGCACTCACAGGTCACTGATGACAACTTCCTCTGTGGAGCTGACAGTGACCAAATCTGACGAGGAGTGAGGATTGAGATTTTGCAGGACAAGAGAGAGTTGGCTTCGTATTCAAAGTTAAGTGATGTACACGAGCAGGTGACCAGTAAACCATGCAGTCATTGTGCAGTATTATAAAACTGTGCTGTGTTTATTTTTTAAGGCTTAAATAGTATTTTTGTCCGGTCTGTATTTTTCCATTTTATGCCTTTTAACTGTGCTAAGTGTACCACATCACTGTGGGAGCAGAGCGTCGGTGTGAGGAACGGGAGGCCGAGGGAGACGAGGTGAGGCGGAGTGCCTTAACTCAAACTAATGCAGTGCTGTTGCTGTGTTTGTGCTTTGTTTTGGGAGTTCAACACAAAACAGATGATCGATGACCAATCAGACATATCAGCAAACTGTGGAGTGGTTTCCTCCAGATGTAACGCAGAGCACTACAGTACGGTACAGTACAGTATACAACAGTACAGTACAGTAGTTCTGATGCACTCGACGTTATGATTACCTTAGTGTTGAAGGTCAACGTTGACCCAGACAGGGTTAATATTCAAGTGGACCATGCTTTCTGTTGTTTTACTGTTATTTCAGTTTGTTTGATTTGTCGTTTTCACACACACACACACACACACACACAGAGGAAGCGTTTTTCTCTGAATCAGACCCCACCAAACACCCCTACTTCAACAGTCGAGGCATGCTGCTATCAAATTGTCACTACCTTCATACTATTCTCTCACTTTTTAAATTTGTAACTACCAGAAATGCTTGGTCTCAACAAAAAAAAAATTGTAATTATAAAAAGAAGAAAAAAACGACGACAGCACCTCAGTTGAAAAGCGTCCAAAACAACGCGGCCTGATGAAAGATCTGAGCTTCACGAGCCGTAGGTTGGTGTCGACCTGCTGACAAACTGCCTTCAAAGGACATGGTTCATCCATAGACTGGGACACAAAGCATCATCTGGACTAAACTTGATCTGAAATACAACAAAAACAAAACAATGGTTAACCCTGTGCTGACATGAAGAGGCTACTATATTTGTGGTTAATGCCACGGATCGACACGGTCGGTGAGGAGCACACCGACGTGCTGCTCAGCTGTGAAAAGATTTGAAATAAGGAGTCACAAAAGGAGAAGTCATTCAGCCCTCTGTTTTCGCCCAGGTCGCCCCCTGCCTGCTATGAGTGATTTTGTATACAGAACAAAAAACAAAAACAAAAAACGCTTTGTGAATACATGTGATGGATGGCACGTTCATAACCCCCCCCCCACCCCCCGAGTATAACTGTGTAGTGTTAATTGTGTAATTTTCATCTTGTACAGCTGTATTCCTACAAATATGGTTTACTGTATCATTGATACTGTAGTTTCAAAGACGTGAACAACTATTTTTCTGAAATGCAACAGTACTGATATATAACATTTTGCTAAAAAAAATGTAAAAAAAAAACTTGTTTACTGAAAGATATTCTGAAATATTGTAAAAAAATAAACTCGACATGGTGTAAGACATTCTTTCAAGCTTGTTTTATACGACGGGAGACAAAACAGTCGTTACTGTTACTGTTTGCTGATCACTTTATCCCCATCATATTTGTGTTTCTCATATGCAAATCTTTTCAACTTCACACAGAGCTACCGAACTAAAAGTCGTTTTCACGCAGGATGACAGTGGAGCTTTGTTCATTTCACAGATACTATTCCAGAAGAAGGAGCGGCCGGGTCAAAACATGTACACGGATGTGTGTTCATGACTTTTCGCGCATGGACACGAGATCGTCGTTACTGCAGTGAGTATATGACAGCAAATACAATCACTCATAATACTGAAATAAAGTTAAACATTGTGCAAATATTTGGTAATATCTGCACAATGTTTAACTTAAAGAAAGAGAAATGATGTCAGAACAATACAGAGAAGAAGACAACACTTCACACTGACTCCAGTCTGTAGTCTGGACTCTTACCTAGATTAGACAGAACCTCCACTGCTGAAGCCTGAAGGTTGTTTCCACTCAGGTCCAGTTCCCTCAGATGGGAGGTGTTGGACCAGAGAACAACAGCTGACCGCTGACAACCTGCAGTTCCCCAACCTGAAGAAGAGAAAAGTTGATTTTCCTGAATTTAGTGAATTATTAAACACTACTTAACGTGAATTATTTTAGATAAAGTAAAATCAGATTATTTTAGATCCAGTTAGACTGGATCACAACACTGGAGATTTAATTAGAAAAGATGTTAATGCAACAGCAGACTCCTGGTTTAATTTAACGTTTTTAACAGATTACATTACATTTACATTAGACGTTCAGACATGACTTGTCAAATTCAGATTCAATGTTTTTTACATTTTTTATTATATAAATAAATCTGATGTATTAGATTATATAGTTTAGATTTAATTAGATATATGGGATTAGAATATATTTAGGCAATTCAAAACCTTAACTCATTAGTTCAGTAAAGCTGACAACTAATTAACAACAACTATTTTATCTCAAGTACAGTTTTATTCAGAATCCAAAACACTTTGACCCATTTGAGAAGAAAACAGAGAGGAAACAATCAGAGTTTTGAACCAGAAGCCGATGATTTATAGTCATCAGTGACAGTGAACTCGCCACAGTCTCCAGTTCCCCTCCCTACACAAGAACTGAATTATATTAATATAACTCTTTCACTCACTGACTCGTCACTGACTCCAGTACTGGTGTCCTTGCCTTTGCCAAATTCTTGGCTACCAGGCTGTTAGTTATGAAGAGGAAATTACAACAACTCCACATGACTCCCACTGGATCAGAAATATTCTTTTTATTTCCTCTAATTGGAGAAACGTAGATTGTCATTATCAGGCTTATCTAAGAAATTTGGTCCATTTCTCCAGGTTGTTAAGAGGACAGACTTTTGACTTATCCTTTACTTACCCTCTATCCTCTTTACTAAACAAATGCAACCGGTTGCCCCAAACAGGAATATTTCTTCTACTCTCTGTACCATTTCCTGACTGGAAGGAACACCACTGCACATAACGAAATGTGACGTCTGTTTTTAACCCATCACCAAAGTGAACAGTGGGCAGCTTTTTATTTTTGGGCGCCCGGGGAGCAGTGTGTGGGGACGGTGCCATGCTCACAGCACCTCAGTGGTAACTTGGCAGCTGGTGGAGTCGAATCTGCAACCTTCCGGACCCAGGTCCGCTTCCTCAACCACTAAGTCACCATTGCTGATCACTGACTGATGGATTGCTATAAATAATGAAAAGTGACTGACTCTGTGTCTGAAGGTATGGGTATGGCCTGAAACCCAGAGGTTCGCCAGGTTACAGAGACTGTGCTCCGTCTTCTTCATTCATCCAAACACTCATCTTCTGAAACAAGTCAGTCTGACAGACAACAGACCGTTAAATTAAATAAAAACCGTGTTCCTTAATTTTTAATCATGCTGACGTCACATTAACGAGTGAAATATTAACTGTTAACGAGAGTAAAACACCGCTGAATGTTCATGATATAAAACATTATCATTTTAACACTTGTTTACTTTGACGCTGACACAATGTTCTGTTCTGTCATATTGTCTCTGAATTCCACGAGGACTCACCACTGTCCTGTCTGTGGAGTCTGAGTTTCCTGAATTTCACTCATTTGTCCTTATCTTCTGCAGCCGTTGTGTTTTGCAGCAGCTGCACTCTTCCCCCGCCTTCTTCTTCTTCTTCGTCGTGCCTCTTCTCCCTTCCCATCCACTGAGAGACTCCGCTGAGCTTTGCAGAGCGGACCAATCACGTGCGGCTTGAACAGAGTGAGACGTCAGACGCCGAAAGGTTCACCGCGTGCATTCAAAGCCACAGGTGAACAAAATTATACCTAAATTATTTTATTCTCTACCGCTCTATACCGTCTATTCGTTTTAGCTAAAATAGCTTAGCTTAGCTAAAATAGCGTAGCTTAGCTGAAATAGCTTAGCTTAGCTGAAATAGCTTAGCTGAAATAGCTTACGTTAAGTTTCTTAATCATTTTCTTTGGTAAAACTAAATAAAAAAATGTCGGATTGTGTTTGGAGAATTTCTTTACTTATTGAATTATGTTTTATCATTTTAACGTTTAAACTAAAGCTTCAGTGGGGTTCTAGAATGAATTTCTGAAACTGGTTACATCGTGATAAACTTGCAATCAACAATGTTTGAAATTACCAGATATGCTAGGATTTCTGCGCACGGAGACCAGGAGGAAGTTGTCCAGAGTCAAAGTCCACTCCTGAAACTGAAAGACAAGGTGAGACATCTTTGGTGTCAAACTATTTATTTTAATATATAAGAAAGTCATTGTTTGACAAATGTTTTGCTAACTCCCAAACCTCAGCATGACTGGTCTTTGGTTTACTTTCCAGGTCATCCTGATGATCTTCAACAAAGTAGGTAGCGAAGTTTTTCTTTTATTCTGTTGTCCCTGCTTTGTCCACTTGTCTTTGGTCTGGCTCTCTGCTCAAGGTTGTGAAGACTCTGGTCCCTTAGTAATGGTGCAGATGTGGAATTGCTGAGCGTGTGGGTAAATGTTGGTTCTGGGTCTGATTTGTGACCATGGTGTTTGACGTGTGTGACTGGCTTGAGTGGTTTAAAGCTGAGCAGTTTGCAGTGATTCAGCGTGAAGTGTCTCTGTTCTGTGTGCAGTAACAGTTATAGCCTTTCAGGTGCTGTCGTCAAACGGTGAGTCCAGAACTTTATTTTCGTTCTTGCTTTCTGGATGGCTATCCTGATGTCCTCCGTATGTTCCTCTCCTTTTTTATTTAAGTGTTTTTATTTTTTAAGAGTAAGAAATAAAGAGATCTTTTTACATTTAATTTTGTAATTATTTAGTCATTGAGCCTAAACATCTGACTGAACCATCTGGTCCAATATTCATACGGTTAGCTGAACGGTGGGGATGTCTTGTTTTGGCTGCTGTGTCTAAAAGCTGACGTCCATTGCGGTGCTTCCTCTTGGCTCATGTCCACTTGTTACTGTTTGGCCTATTCTCTCAAGAACATTTGCACCTTTTAATGTAGATTTCTCTGGCAGTTTATATAACTGAAACGTTGTGTGCCTGAATTCCAACTACATGGATGTCAAGGACTCGAGAAGTCATGTGTATTCCTTGCCACTTTTTTTTGTCAATGTAGATTTATGTGAATGTATTTGACTTTTATGTGTATATTTCTCTAACTGACGCAGCTGTCTCACGGGAGTCTAGTTTTTTTCTCAATAACAGAACTTTTTATTGTAGTTTGTTGTTTTTGGACATTCAGATCAGGAATTCAGCTGTGGCACAACATAAAGGGACACGTGGACCTCTGATACTGATGCTAATGGCTGCTCAATTGATGTCTTGTTGAAATATCAAGTTTAATCTTTTTTTTCTCTCTTGTAGTTTAACTTTTTTTTTTTTTTAAGAAAAGTAAAGTAGATGGTGAATTTGTACTTGTCAACAGTTTAGGTGAGGAGCAGATTTAAGAGCAAACTCCTCCATGTTACCACTACAACTGGGTATTCTGATCTATAGTCAGTGTTTGACACAGTGGCTTTGGACATTGTATGCTGTCAATACAATCTTTCAGATCAACTCTTGGTTACACATGGAGAGGAAGAGATGGTATAGCACACGGCAGAGTATGTGACGGGTGAATTATGTTATTTTAATCAACTATAGAACACAAGTGTCCTGCAAAAAAACATATATATAAAAAAACTCCGTGTTAGAGCATGTTTTAATCAGTTATTTAGCCTTAAAGATGTGGCATACAGGCGTCATCTGAAATCTTAGATTTTTTTTAACCTTTAACTCAACTCTTCATCACTGACAGATTCCATTTTTTCAAAATCCAATTTTAAAAAAAACTAATTAGAAAAGTCATGTAAACATACTCCTAGAATCTCTTCAGCCTGTTGTCAGTCTTCTGTTGTACAACAGTTGCTCTCACTGTGGTCATGGTTCTCCTGGGACAGAAGAACAGACATCAAATTTAATATTAACATTAACAGATAATCAAATCAACGTGAACTATAGTTTTACAGCGTGTAATTGGTGATTAGTTCACACCTGAAGGATTTTGTAGATTCCTAGTTGGAAACGACAGCAGAATACATCAACCAGGAATCCAACCATACCATGGAGCATCCCTGTACATGAAAACACAGTTATGGACGTTAAGGCTTCTATTATACATTGATTAAAGGAAAGAAATGTAAAATATTTCTTGTCTTTGTACAAAGTGAAGAATATGTGAGCACAACATAAGATAAATATCTGCTCGGGTATAACTGAAGAAGAACATAATCCCACTGCAACACAGCTAGCACAGGTAGTACAGCTAACCCATCGATTACAGCTCAGTTTGAGATATGGCCAATGGCCCGGTGGTTATGGAAGTTAAGTGCCATCTGCTCACTAAAGTGATGGGTTAAAGCGGTATTCCTTAATTATTTTCTAGTGAGGGTAAGGAGAAATGGGTTTTTTTAAGAAATAGTAACAGCAGAGTCATTTCTCATTTCATAACATCAATTAATGAACTTATTGTGATTGCATTCAACATGTGTGATTTGACATGTATTTGTTATTTTACATACGTGTGTATATCCATGTCAACGATTGGGACAATTCATCTACCTGTGGTTGTGAATATGCCTCCAATGATGCCACACAGTCTGACAAGAAACTGCCAGAAGGGCATGTGCTGCTCTGTGACTTTGACCATCAGTGAATTGATATCATATTTCATGAAGATCCCTGAGACTCCGTGGCTGCCTGCAGCATGGTTTATCCCTCGCTCCTGCAGGGCCACAGACACAAACGCATTAAACGCACTGACTGACTGATTAGACACATCACACATAAATAAAACCCACCCGCTCCGTCACTGAGTACTGATGTGTGTCAGCTGAAATCTTGTATGTGTTCAGCTTGGTTGGCACGATGGTGATGAAGTACTGAAACATGTAATTGGCTAAAAAGAAAAATAAGAGTAATAAAATATTTATGTTTATGCAAAAAATAATATAGAAATAGATTTCTGTTGGGGTGGACACATTACGTTCATCTGTGATTTTCTCCGTGCCGTCCAGTGGACTGATGAGCCCTGGGATTGCTTCGCCAAAGGATAGGTGGTCGATTCGGTGAGAAAAGTTAAAACCTGTAACAGCAGGTCGAGTCAGGACAGTGAAAACCAGTGCACAGCACGTGGGAGCGTGGGCAAGCGTATATTTAGAGCAGTAAAGATGATGAACTCACTGTCATGGCTGACCAGAGCTGCCAGATGGGCATGGCCTCTGGGATGTGGGATGGACCTGTGGAGGGGTCAGGTGTGGTCAGTGGGTGCAACTGTGCATTTGTATGAAAAGCACCTCACTGTGTGTGAAGTGATCTGAAGATATCAATAGTTACCACTATGTGATGTTTCAATAATTTAAAAATACAAATTGTTTATAGTTATTAGTATTTTTTTCTATGCCCCAGTAATTTATGACATAAATCTGAAGGGACAAATGACTTTTCCAGTTTACATTTAATATTTTGCACAACTGTTACATGAATACATTAAAATTATATTAAAGTAGCACAATTGTTTAGTAGAAAAGAAGGAAAAAAATCTAAATACAAAAAAATAATTGAAGTGAATTGAGTAATTGAAATTGAAACTACTGAAAATAAAAAATCAAATTTATTTTACACAAGTAGTCATTGGCCAGATGTGAGGGGCTTTATAGGCTGGAAGTGGTCCTTGGGCCGGAGTTTGAGACCACCGGTTTGGAGCAACAGTATGTTAACACACATCACTGGTTGTGTTGAGTGAAACACGTATGTCAGTTTGATGGTGGGCTGTCAGGTTATACTGAAGTTGAAATCTTCACTCCTCTGTGGGCACACTGATGGTTTTGTTTGAGGTGCACAAAGAAGATGATGTGTTTTGTCTGACCAAACAAATCATGTGTTTCATCTGAAGTTAGATACATATATTATTGCACATTTGTGATTGGTGACATCACACTTTTTGTTGTTTTTAGTGTTGTTCGAAACTGACTCTGATGCCTCTTTCACTGTACCATCAGTTTTTTCTATTTAACACGAGCTTTATGAGACTTCTTTGTTTAGGTTTGTATTTAATTAATGGTTTTAAATCTATTTAATTAGTCATCAAATGAGTTTTATCAACATTGTTAAATAATTCATCAATTTTAAATACTACTGTTAAAATATATAAATAAATAAAATTGAATTGGTAAATAAAATAAAGTTTCATTAACATAATTTTTTAGGCATGTGCTAATGGTGGGAACATACTTGCCAACAGTGATGTGGAAATTTCCCGCCACCTTGTTGACATACATGTGTCCATGTATCCTGCAGGCGTTAAAGGAAGTGGCGCTGTCGTCACTGTGAAAGCGAGGAGAAATGACATCATCAGAGTTGAGAGGTCTCTTTACTTTGTGTTCTTGGCGTCTGTTGGTGCTGATTTTTTGATAATCTCATACCTCTGAGACTGGGCAGGTGGCGCTCCCTTTAATGCTGTCTTGAAGATTATGTCCTGAAGAGAATGTTCAATTTTCAGACGCTCCTGAATGTGCAGCAGAGTCCTGAAAGTCGGGATCCAAACATGTGAGGGGAGCATGGGGGCACGGGGGGGGAGGGAGTGGGGTGTAGGAATGAGTTGTTTAAAATTCATTGTAATTCTACATCAGATAAAAACACAACTTCTGCATCATATGTACAAAAAGCTGTTTTGTAAGAATCAGCACCACTACTGAGATTTGTCGATGCAGAGATCTGTTCAGGCCATTGTAGCTGTATACAGTACATCATACACTTTTTAAGAGTTCAAGTGGATAGAAATCTTACATGTGCCACAATTTCTGCTGTGGTGGGAGCTCAAAGTTGACCTAAAAAGAAAAAAAAACTTAGTCTGAGTAAACAACTGAAGTTTAAGTAAAGTTGTTTTAGTAAAACTTACTGGTTGGTATTTTAAGCCATCAGATGCAACCATTGTTTCTGCCAGGTCCAGAACATCTGCACCAATATCTGTATTCAAGCACACACCCACAAAACTATATAAATAAGGAATAATTACAGGGTGGTTGTGGATTAATCATAATTATATAATTGTGATTTATCTTAATTATGAAACAATAAAACAACATTTGTAAATGACAAGAACGTTTATGTACGCGCTTACATTGGCATCTCATGGCAACTGTGATGTCGATGTTTATTCTTAGTTTACTGTAAGAAAAGAGAAGAGACAGGAAATACTTTTACTAATTGAACTCGTCACAAAAAAAGTATAAAGTCCACTTTTCCACACGTGTAACTGAAATGATTCACTTCCTGCTTACAATCTATAGTACAATCAGCTAATTCCATAAGAAGAAAAGTTGGATTTAAACACTTTAAGTCAGACATTATGGCTTTAATAATTAAAAAGACTCTTAAGAAACTAAAAAACCCAATGGTGTTTAGTGAGAGGTGGATTGTAAATTGTTGTTCTATGTTGTTGCAGTTTGAATAATTTGTACTAAAAACATTTAGCCTCAAGATCAAAAAGGTTACGAACCCTTGGGTGCAGAGTGTAAACTGTTTTTTTCTAGTATCAATAACGTGAGGGCAGGAAATATTGTTCTTTGTTTACATAGCTTTTCCTACCAAAATTAAATTTTAGTGGGAAAACCGAGTGAGTGATTGTTTGCTCTTACCTGCTGAAGTCTTTATCCACCTCATACTCATACCTCATCCATGTGTTAGTGTACACAAAGAACTCTAGCGCAGCCATAAGGGTGAAGGCAATCAGAGATACTGCACAGGAAACAAAAAGCAGTCACTGCACCACTGCTGGACTCTCTGGTCACAGGACAGCACTTTTAATCAAAAACAAGCTATCCAGTCTAGAACATGCTACACATGGTAAATGACATAACACACACACAAAAAATAAAATGATGTGGGAGGTATGAATTTGATGTAGATATCACTTGTCGGGTTACAGGAGCTGCAAATATGTAAACGACCAACAATACTGCAGTACAATGCTCTGTCATACTATTATCATCAACATTAAACTGCATTGTACATTTTAAAATGTATGCTACAAAAAAAAACCACGTGTTCATGTTTAAAGACACAATAGTAAATTCATGATAACCATCCAAAGATGTAAAAAAGATATTAAAACGTAGACCTAAAGCTGCCCACTGTTCACTTTGGTGATGGTTAAAAACAGAGGTCACGTTTCGTTGTGTGCAGTGGTGTGCTGTGTCACAATGACAAGGAGTTCACTTTCCTTTGTTATGTTTGACTATGTGTGCTGGTTATAAAATAATCCAACTCAAACTCAGGGCCAAATATAACCATAAGAGATACGCATGAAGAACATTGAGGGCTGGAAAAACAGGTTTTCTGTGTGTGAACGTGTGGTATGTTGTATTTAGTGCTAACGTGCACATTTTGGTCCTAAGGACAGCAGTAAATACTAATTGTAAGGTAGTGTTTAGAAGACAGTTGTGAGACCTGCTATGATGTTTGGTTTAGGGTAGGGTGTCAAATATGTGGGTTCCACTAGCGGGATTCAAATAACAAAAAGCATAAAAGACTTAAAATTCTTAATAAAGTGTTATTCCTACACCAACCACTATGGGCGCACTGGGTTAGTCAGAGTAGAAGAAGTTTCAGGAGCAAAAACAATGTAGTCTAGACATGACTAACTCCTTTAAAATGCTGCTTCAGATGCAGATTGCAGTTAAAAGAATACACTTCTGTGAAAATGAATATTTTTTGTAGAAATTGTTAAGAAATGCAAGTGAACTACAAAAGAGTTTGGCTTAGTGGAATCCTATTATTCATGCAGGGCCGTACATTTTTAAGTGCATTGCTATAATTTTCAGTTCCAAATACCACTGACCTAAAGTTTTGTTTGTATTTGTGCAGACAGTTGTATTAAGACATCTGGCGTTGTTCATATGTGTAAAAGAATATTTCATTCGAAAACGAAAGGGAAAAGCATCAAATAATTGTTATTTATAGGTAGTTATGTACATAATTGTACTGGTCTGACCCACTTCACGTGTAATTAGACCGTATGTGGCCCCAGAACCAAAATTAGTTTGACACCACTGGTTCAAGAACTCTCTCTCTCTCTCTCTCTCTATATATATATATATATATATATTAAAATTGCATATTTCCGTGACTGCGGTGACTTTGTGTTTGTCTATATGCTCTTACCTGTGCCACCGCTAGCGGTGGACTCCACGTAGCTCTCAGGAACTTTAGGAAAAGCGTCCAGCTCTCTAACCAGAGTCAGGGCCTTCTTTTTGGTCAACCTCCTCATCTTGGCAGTAGAAACAGCAGCAAACAGACATTTAATAAGTCATGCAGGCTGAACAAACGCCTGTATTGTCTGTGGAGCGAACACTCAAGTGTAGTCACTCAGCCTCCTTCGCTATGAAAGAGGCAGACGGCCATTAAACAGTAGCTACTAGTTTCGCATAAATAAACTGTCCGTGAGGCAAAAAAAGAACACGCACTTCAAAAAATTGTGTTAACAAGTTAAACACAGAAAACAGCAGAGTAAATATCCGGCAAGTGTGTGAGGAAGACGTGGTTGTCGTTGGTTAGATCCCGCTACCTTGAATAAACTGCTCACATTTTGAGTTAGCGCCCTCTGGTGGTAATGTAACATTTGTTGGCGCGTGTGCAGCTTGATGTCTCTCTATATGTAGCTGTGGTATAATAGAGAACCCAACCTGAACTCACTGTCAGCTAGAGTTGCACACATATTGTTATTAGTGAGGAAGTAATTGCTTTTGTTACATATTAGCTGTTGTAAAATTGTGTAATCACCTCAGTCACCTGTAACTTCAACCTGTAGTAATTACAATCACGGACACAAAGCACTTAGAAGTATTTTTTTTAATTACATTCTCAAAATTTCATGTATGATGAACTGAATGTTGCATGACAACATGACACAGTGATTACATCAGTGACACATAATTCAATCAATCTTAGCTAGATGGATGGAAGAGACAAAAACAAGTTGTCAGCAAAATATGACCCCCTATGAAAAAAAAAGATAAATTAACATTGTGGTTCTAACAAGGCTGTATGAAGTACACCCAAGTAAGTAACCTGTATACAACACCAGATAAAAAAAATGGTAACAAACACGAAAGTTGACAATATGAACCATGAGTTCAACTTTTTTTTTTCATTAAAAAACAGTCTGAAGTACTATGCAACCTTAAGCGTTATGCCACATATATGTGCAGTGCAGACTAGGGACAAAAATATGACAATTTTTCAGAGCATCCTAGGGGCCGCCTCTTGGTTGTATCTCTCTTCAAAGAAAGTTCAATGACTGGAAGGTTAACACGCACTGTTATTGTACAAAACACAGTTATAGGTATGCCACGATGTCCTGCTAAAATGGCTTTTTAAGTTTAATTTTTCAAAATCCAAGAAGAAAGTGGGCACTCTATTCAGTGGGCACAGAGTCTGGTCCTTCATCCTGCAGGACTGCACTGCTCAGGATGTCATAAGTGGATGTGTCAGATGGTTCTTGAGAAAGCTCTTACGAACATCTGCTTACAGTTGGTGAGATCACGTCTGGACTCAGGTCACATGACTCTGTACTCTGCTCTGAGTTTGCCGTTGTAATTGTTGTCGCAATGCTATGGGGAACTGGGTCAAAATCATCATCGTCATCCTCTGAAATTGGCGACTCGTGAATATCTGCAAAATGAGAGGTATTTTATGTGTGACATTCAGATGGTCTGATTTTAAAGAGAATATACAAGAAATGTACAAGTGAGAGGAAAATACGTACTGCTAAAGGCTTCGGGATATTGTTTAGAAACTTTCCCTTTAAGTGTCCTGTAGGAATATATGGGGTCAGTATCCAGACCATAGTGGTGTTGGTTTAAATATATGAACTACATTTCTATACCTGATCCTCCTGAAGATGCTGTCTAGATCCTTCTTCATCTCCACTAGGGTACGAGTGTGAAGCAGGAAGCGCTCGTTCATCTGCTGCAGCCGAACGTTAGAAAGTCCGTTGAAATTGATCAGCATTTCATTGGTTTTCTCAAAGCGGTCAAGCCTTTTTGGCACAGCAGAGTAGGAAGGCAAAAGAAATATTATCAAGGTATTAAGGCATTTATAAATAAGCAAAAGAGTAATCTATTTGAATTTAGAAATTGTCAAAAAACTAAAAAATATTACACTAAATTATGCAAAGAAATAGCAGTGTTTTCTACATAGAAACCGTATGTTGTCTGTTGCAGTGCATTTTCAGCAGTAGACAGATGTCATTTTAAATAGAAATCACCACCATCTAACAGCACATTTTATTATTATTATTATTATATTCATCAAAATAAAATCTAAGAGGAGATACTAAACTGAGTAAGACTCACATGTGCCTCTGAGCCTGAATGATGGCATTAACGTCCTCCGAGTTGACCATGCTGAGCATCCTGCTGCAGAAAACACCAGACCCAGTGGGCTCCTCCATGGTCGAATCTAAATGAACAAATTCACATGTATGAAATATCTCGTTGATATTGAGTAAGAAACATTTAACAAAATACAATTCATACAAGTCATGTTATTACAAAGTTATCTCCACAACAAATAATGCAGAGGAAGAGTACGCATACACGAGGAAACGAAATGGCAAAAATATTTTAGCATAAACATTGGTCCTGCTTGTAATGATGTGTTTTATCGCAAAAGCTATCAATTGCAAAAGTGTTGAATAGCCATCTGTTTGTGTAGATCGAATGATTGTTAAACAACAACAATAATTATACAATTATTAAATGCCACAGAAAACAAGATGTGAAAACTAGAATCTAAGCCAGCAGGCCTAATCTGAGGGAGGTTCAGAGAACAACAGGTTTAGCAATTATTACCTTGACATTTAAGTTTAATTAAAAGTTTAATTAAAAATACATGTAATAATTTAATGAAATAATTGCGTTCCTTTTTCGTGTGCAGAGACATTACGCCATAACTTAATTGATAAATACAGCAGAGCAGTGATTTTAAACTGAACAAAGCTTCTGTCATAGCAGGTAAACGATTGTTCTCTGAATAAAATGTTAGCTAGATTGCTAACATAACAAGCCAAGAAGGATTCGCGTTGTTGATACCTACATGTTAGGGTAAAACCTTTGGTTCGTTGTCGAGCTCAGACTCTCTCTCTTTTTTTACAATAACATTAAAAGCAAACGTCACTGTTTCAAGCTACGTAGTGCTACTGTGTCTAAAACAAAACACTGCCGTATGTGTCGCCTCTTCCGGTCATAGGACCACTGTTTCCGTTTTTCTGCGCGAGTCGAATCACTCTTTTTCGATTTAAAGCGAAGCAAATTACACAGAAAACAATTCTGAACACTGATCAGTGTTGCTTGTCATATGACTAAATTATAGAAATAGCAGTAACTCACTTACTTTGCTCAACTCTTTTAACCAACTAACCAATATATGACGCTCGCCCCCTGGTGGCCGTTGGTGGTGTAAATGATTAGTTTTGCAAAACAAAAAACGGAAATAAATGTGAAATCTCTGCGGATACTGATATTGTTTGTTTTAAGAGCTATATTTATCTAATTAAATATATATACATATAAACATATAATGCTAATAATTATTCTATTATTATTATTATCATTGGACAGGCGTAGGCTGCTTTGGCCCCCATAACCTACTAAAATTATAGTGAAGCATTTTGTTTTGTTAATTGTCCATTAATGAATAAAATATTAATGAGAATCTAAAAAATCTCATTATTCTATGTAGTAGCTGGGATTTGAGTTATACTTTTCCACAATTGTTCTGACATTTTTCCATATTAATAATTCCACTATCTGGAATAGTCACAAATAAAAACAAACATCTACCTGTTGTTACTTGATCCAGCCATATACAGAAAAAGGCTTTTGTCATGTTTAGGAATGACAGCTCACCTTAATTTATGATAAATCATGATTAATCATTAATTACATTATTTGGCAAATAATGACATAATGATATAATGAAATAATGATAATGACCTACACTTTCTCATTTGTTTTAAACATCTGTTGTTTGAAACTAAGGTCTTGACTGAATCCATACCAACAAGTCCACCAACTAATTTCTTCCAGAAAATTCACAAAATTGCTTTTTATTAACAGACAAGTAAAAAAAAGTACATGATTTATAAAAAATACAAAACTGCTTTTTCTACCATGTAAGCTAAGTAAATGCATAGCGACGGTACATGCAAGTCTACAGTTCAGGTATCCTACTGCTCTCTAATATTTGAAGCTACAGGCTAAACAGGGGAAAAAGTACAGTCGGTTTGCAATCTATTGTTTCTTTCAGTTAATAACACAAAGCCAAAATGATGATACAGAATAAGTTAGGTTGCAGCAACTCAACTTAAAAAAACAACAAATAAATACTTATCACATTATCATTTCACAAATATTGACAACCAGTAATTCAACGCAACATTAAATCAAAGATGCGTGGGAATTACATTCCATTTCTGATGTACAAAAAAAAAAATTTAAAAATCATGCTATGCAATAGCTAAAAATGAGAAGAATTCATAGTATTACACCTTTAAACGGGGGTGAAGTAATACAAATAAATAAAATAAATAATAAACCCATATGAGACATCACATGTATGATATTTTCATATTAGTGTTCGCTTTTAGAATATCATAAACATACAATGACCTTGGACGAGCACGAGTGTCCATGTTAAACCTGCATTAATCTGACAATGGGTGAATTTCAATGTGCTTTGGCTTTCTTCGATAAATAAAGTCATATCAGGCTATATATCACAACACATTTGTGGTGTATGAGGCAACGGCATAGAATTTCAGCTTGTATAAAGAGTTTTACCATATACTGACGGGAATGAGAGAAAACACTGGCATTGCAATTGTTGAGTGACTATAGACCGATTGAGTGTGTTTGCTGTCACGGTGTGTATTGTTACTATTTTTATGCAAAGACGTGTTCTATTTTTCTTTTTTTTTTATTTTACATATAAAAATAAGTTAAAACTTCAGAGAAAAAGGATCCAAAAATAAAAGCAAGATTTACAGTTTCTATAAGGCCATGCAACTTTTGTCGACTCATGCATCAGAGCACTGCGTCTTTTGAATGAGTGGCTTTCCTTTCATGCAAATGCATCGTGTTTGTTCGGGCCGAGACACATTAACTGTCCCCCTTTTTTTGTTTCTTATTACCAATCCAGAATTAACACTAGCACTGTCTTTGACACACAATTAAGGCTGGTGTATTTGCTGTTGAAGCTGTGAATAGGCCTTTTTTAAAATGGGTCTACACAGAGACGCTAATCCAAACTACACACACAAATGCATTGATAGGAGTGGATGTCAGTGTGAAAGAAGACAAAGACAGGGGTTACTGTACAAGTCTGTGCTTTGTCACTGTGTCATTCATCCTAGAAGAATCGTCTCCAGGAGATGAAGATAAAAAACGCGTGTCCAATCACATTAGTTATCCTCTCACACACATGCTCAGAAAACATGGACAGCGTGAATGAGTTCACATGTATCTTTGAAATGTTGGGTCAGGACTTTCTAGTAGCACCTTTTGCTGGAACCTCAGGGATGTATTGTGTTTTGGAATGAAATCTCTACCATGTACCTACAAGCAAACTACAGCTTCAGCTTTTCATCTAAAGATAATAAAAAAAAACAAAACAAACAACAACAGGGATGCTGGTCCACTGTGAGCATAGTAACAAAGGTGAAAAAGTTAATAAGTTACAGCTATAACACAGAAAATTTAACTCCAACAAACTCCAGAAGACCGAAGGATTTTCAGCTGCTTTACGAAGACAATCTGAGGCAACCTCTTCCAGTAAGTGCTCTAAGACTAAACCAGCACCCCGAGATTTCTTCAAAATTGTGGGCATGGGAGTGATGTTCAGGGTTATTTCAGGTTTTCAAGTGTGGTTTTATAATGACAGTCATGGTTTTTTATGTAGTTGCCTGTCCTGTGTTTTAATGGAAATGTCACCTTCTAGCTTCCAAGCAAGTGCTTCAACTCATCATTTCTACACCTACTCAAGTGGATGTGATTTTTACATTGTATTGAGACCACTGATCATGACATCTGTACCAAAGGCCACAAGGAAAGGCCGGTGACGGAGAGTACATGTAAACAAAAGTATCAAAACACCAAAGTTACAAAAACCTCCATATTATGGACTTACTAATAGAGGTAGCAGTGGATTTACGACGTCTGCGCAACTTCAACGGATATTGGTGAGAAGGATTTAGCAGTTAACCAAGTTCAGTTTCCAAAAAGGAAGACACATCAAACAGTATTTAGAAGTGAGTAAACACACGTATAAGATATTGCGTAAATGAGCAGGTGCAGATTTTGGGAGGGAGCCTTTTACGGTAGCATTATTTTGTTGTGTTTTTTTGGTCAAATGGGTCCCAGGTGGGTGTATGAATGCCTCTAGTCAGTGCTGATTGCTTCAATCAATAGCTTATATATATATATAACCACACTAAAAAACCCAAAGTGATCCTTTCACTCTACCACCCTGCCTCCACCACTACAATTCTGGTTGGAGGTGTTGTGACGCTGACACACAGCTGAGCGCTCTCGGCGTTCTCCTCACATGTTCCCATCTTTACTTCCTCGTCTGTCTGGGATTTCTGCCCACCGATACCCACTCCCGGCTGACCTTCCTCTACTTCCACCTCTTCCTCCTCGTCCTCTTCCTCCTCGTCTTCTTCCTCCTCGTCCTGCTGTTGCTGCTGTCGCTTTTTGCGGCAGCATGGTTTGAACAAGTGTGGGTCTATAAGCACTTCTCCGAAGCGGCCCTTGTAGATGATTCCACAGCAAACTTTTTGTCTGTACACAAAGATCAAACACAGTAAACATGCAGTTGTGTGTATAGGAATGGTTGGACAGTTTCCACAAACTTTCACAAAACTCAACTGTTACAAAGGAAACAAATTCAACACCAGTGCATCAACACGTGTTTTCCAGTTGTGTACCTGACTAGACTTGTAGTGAGATGGCACACAACTACAGACCATTATAACATGTATCAAAAAGCTGAGCTCTCTTAGGAGAGTGTTTTATTTAATAACATACCGTGTATAACATGAGTCAAACTCCGGCCCAGGGGCCAAATCTGGCCCGCGGTGTAATTATATTTGGCCCAAGGGATCAAATCAAATGTGTACTAGAGTTGGCCTGCCAGTATATAGCCCCTGTATACTGGCAGGATTTGTAGTATTAGCAGTGTATGCGCTATGTTATAGCACATACATTTTGTTTTTTGTTTTTTTGTTGTTGGCCTGTGGAAAAAAAGATTTACATTAAAAGGGAACGTGAAAGGCTACAGATAAAGAGACATAATAAGAAACAAATACTACTGATGTGTTTTATTTTAAATTTATTTTCTCATGTGTTTATTATATTAAGCTGTGGTTGTTCCAGATTCAAAAATAACACTGATGCTTCTGATAGTCAAAAGAACTGAATTTCAAAAATGAAATAAACCTGTTTATTTAAAAGGCCTTTTGAATGGGTGAAAAAAAAGGGAATAAAACATCAAACTTATTTTTCTTATTTACTCTTCATAAAATACTGTACATCAAGTATGGCATTAAACTCAAAATTTAAATGAAAATCTCATTAGTTAGTATCATCTTCTCACCTCTTCCAGTACGTAAGATCCAGGAAGGAGAAAACCGGGGAGCGGCTAGAACCTGGGCTGAGCTCTGTATCAGAGCAATCGTCTGACAGGTTGCTGTAGCTGGGAGACTGAGCTGGAGATGCACTGGAGGTGCTGTGGGCATCAGAGTCTGTGGGACAGGGAGACGGAGTGGACAGTATAATTGTTAATGGTTGTTTTCAATCTAGATAATTATGTTTTTAAAATGTTTTGAATTAGCTAAAATAGCTAGTATTTGTAAATATGTCATAAAAAGAAGGCTGTGTTTTCACGTGAAGAGCTAGATCTATTGACAATAGATGGATTTGGGTCAAATGTGTTCCAAGTTGTAATCCAAGAGGGAAATAATAATAGGTAATAATAGGTTGGAAGTAATCAGGAAATGGCAAAGTGAGTGACTTTAACAAACTTGGGTTTTTTTTAAATCTATATTTTGGCCTGTGATGGACTGGTGAACTGCTGGTGCTGAGGTTAAGCTGTGGAAAATGAGTGATGGGCGACTGCTTCAAACAGCCGACTCACTGTTTCTTTTGAGCTCCTTCTGCAGCCTGCTGATCTGACTTGGCCTTGCCTTCTTAGTGATTGACTTGATTTTCTTAGGCCTGGATGTGATCTTGAGGCTGGGACCACCCCTTGCATCCACAACCTGTATAGCAGAGCACAAAGACGTGGGGATTTAAGATTTATACTTCTGACCAATCAGTAGCTTGTCCACTGGCATTACATCATCATAGGGACAGAAACTCACATGGTTCCAGTTCTTCTTGGTTCCCACCGGCAGCTTTTTCCATCGTTTCACCAAGAGTACACAGGCATTACAGATTTCTCCAGATCTTGTTTCACTCAGTCTGCAAAGCAAAAGTGATATTGTTTTATTCAATTCACATAAAATTGTAGACACAGCCTTTGATCAGCTACAGCAGACCTGGACAATGTACATCCTGCGGACCACACCCAACTTTCTGACGGGCTGTGTGACGTTGTTGTTAAATTATACAAAACAATGTGTGATTTCGATATCTATTGCACTTTGATAGGCACATAAAATACAATTGCACGTCTTTCATTTAGAGGGCAAATAGTTTGGTTTTTGTTTCCAATTTAACACTTGTGTGTCAATAAACAAAGTGTCCCTGTCCAGATGAACTGTAACAACAGAGGTTAACGATATTACAAGGAACTTCAGCCACAAAAGAACGCTGCTCTGGACGAGAGCTGTGATGTCTACGACACAGCCCAGTAATTTATCTCTGTACTTTATACAGCAAAATAGAAATGGGAGAATCATGGGAGACCAAAACTGGTGAACACTACACCTGAATCACCTGCAGTAGCAGTTTTTTATTAAGGAAAGTTTTTACCACTGACTATTGACTAGTGTGTCACTTACCCGAAGCAGCTCCTGAACTCTTTCTCATAACGTTTACTGTCCGTGAAACGGGAGCTGGAGGATTTTGCGCGGCAGATGCAGCAGCCGTCCAGACTCCTGTACATTTTCGGCTTATGGAAGCCAAACATCTACAACCGAGCATAAACAAAATATATATTTATTTCAACACAAACATACACACACAGTTTTCTCCACGTTTTCTGTGTGCACGGCGCATGATCAACTGCAGTTCCGGCTTCCCACTCCTCGCTCCACCATTGCGCACGTGTTTCTGCTTCAGCCGAGAGAATTTAGTGCAGGTGTGAAAGTAAAATGTGAAACAGGAAACCGATATCGGGTGTTTAAAGGTAATTAAGGTTGACACTATGGTTCTGGGGATGATTTTGGACTCTGCCGCTGTGTGACCCACATGGAGGTATAAGTAGGTCAGCAGTCAGACAGCAGCGTGTCAGACAGATCATGTCAGCATGCTGCGCCCACACGCAGCAATCACGCCGCATTTAGGAAAACTCCAAATATACACCGTGGTTCACACCCTACCCCGTGGCTGTGCTGCGCGGGAGACTCCGTTATTTACTTAATAGTGAAAGTGCCACTTTAAATGAAACGAATCTGCTGTCGCATGAGAACGTCGATAATAACCGTTAGAATGGGGGTAAATGTGAAGCGCCGAGTACAAAAAAAAATTAGAAAACCAGTAATTGTTGCATATGCACAGGAATTAGGTTTTATGTTGCTGGGCAAACTGTGTCCTCTACACCACGTGTAGAACTGAACTGCGGCAAAAACGCGAGCCACGCCCCCCAACCAGACTGTTTTTTTTGCTCGCCATCCGTCCTCGGGGTCTTTTGACAGTGCGGTGCCACAGACAGCAGCCAGAGAGTAGAAAATGTTAGAGTCCTCACTCTGATGCTCCCATCATAGACTCTTAGAGGCAGAATATACAGGGGGTTTACTCTATACGTGAAACATTCATATAAATCTGACTGCATTGTTGGGCAGTCAACAGTCAGTTTCATAGGTGATGCGTTTTCCACTAAAACAACCATTTTCATGGAATGAAATAATAAAAAAAAGACTGACTTCTTCACATTAAAAATTACAAATAAAATAATCAAAAATGGTTTACCATTCAGTAAAAAGCAGAATTAACACTGGTTATGTCAAATATCTAATCAGTGTTCTTTGAAATACTTACAAGTGTACATACTTATATGGCTAAGAAGGAAAGTAGCACATTTCCCCTGCAGCCAAAATTTGCAGTGGCAATTCAACATTTAATAATAGTTCTATACAAATGAAAGTATAAAGTTGAAAAGGCTTTTTCAAAAGGCGCACACTTTGATGTGTTAATCATTTTAATTGTTGACTAGTGAAGTACAAGAAGTCGAAGGAAATAATATTTAACTTATGTTTAACATTAAAAGGTTTTTACTTGTTTGTTTTTAGTATTTTCATATTCCTCAGCTTCATGACCTTATAGTCATATAACTATTACAAAAATCAATATAAAAAAACATGTAAGGGTAAAATATATTCAGTAAATATCACTGTAAAACACTGTCCCACCATCATTTTTATTTATTTAATTATTTATTTACTTTATATAAACCTACCTCCCCTGACAGTGTGTTACTGCCCCACGGCACACATGAATTACCACTGGCTCAGACTGTCCTAAGGTTTGAGTCTTACTGTACAACCAACCCTGAGGGCAACTGCTAATCTCCAAACCAAATGCATTACTCACCTCTTTCCAAAATGTTTTAGCGGATTAAAAGGATTATCACAGTACATTACATATCATATAAAAAATAACGTTCAAATAAATTTGTCCAGGGCATTACAACTGCATTATTCTGTGGTCAAACATGGTGGCCACTGTTTGTGCTTGTCCTGTTTTCTGGGATTTTATTTGTAATTGAAAAGAAATGTTGAGAGTAGTCAAAGACTTATCACAAAGGTGAAGAACATGTATACTCCTCCAGCTTGCCCTTCAACTGGTGATCTTTAATTACGGCTATTAATGGCTATATACAGTATGATATTTTTGGCCAGTATACTCACGTGTGTTTATTTTATTTTTATTTTTTTGTCTGATTGAATTGTACAAAAACATTTAGTAAGAATCTCTTATATCTGCTTGTTTATATATATATATATATATAACTGCGCTATACTCTTCGAACCCCAACTGTTTTTTATTTTAACTATCAAGCGTAGCCTCTGTCGATTGCAGACGATCTCTGCAGCAGCCTACAGTACGTGACGCAACTCAACATGGCATACACTTGGAAGGCGGAGGTAGTGTGGCGAGGAGGTGTGATGCGATTTTAATGCGAAAAAAACTGTCACAGCGATGAGTAAAGTGCAAAAATGTTCCGTAATGCGGCATTTCTGGTTTCGAACGATACTTTCATCATTTAAAATTTAATAAGATTTGGAGAGGCGCACTGCTTTTGTCGACAGAAAAGTGCAAGTGACCAATTTCAACACCCACTCCGGCGAGGAAGCATGGCATGCCACACGACCTGCTTCGTGCGCACCCATTTTATGACGACTGTCGATTACTCGACGACGGTCCGCTCTACTGCACTACACCAACTTCTAGCATATATTTGAACATAAAAGAGAGGGATTTATAAAGATAAACGGCTCACATGTGCACAAAGAGGAAGCTTGTTTAAAAATAAAGGTGTAATTTGATCGTTTCTCTTTGTTATTCCGGAGCCGCGTCGCTGCAACAGTCCGCCCGCAACTCCATGTCCCCGAAGTTCACAGCGACGGGTTTCACTTGAACTTTAAGTCACTTTTTAGACTAAGTTAGCGTTTGAACGCCAGCTCTGATGTTGGCGGTTTAACATTGTAGAGTTATTTTGCCGTAATGTTGACAGCAGCGGCGGCGACCGCGTGCTGAGCCACATCTCTGCTCGGAGTGGGCGTGAGAGACCTAACTTGCCTTATTACGCTGATGTGGATGTGTACAAGTCTACAACCGTTGTTCACATACCTTCATACTGTTCACAACAATGCATTTTAAAAATAAAACTTGGTGTTGGAATATGAAACGCACACAATAATACACTTTTAGTTCAATTTAAGCAGTCATTGAAGGAGTGGTGTCTTGCAGCACCCAAACACAGCTGCCTGAATACGAAGGCCAGTGACTACCTTACTCATCTTTGTGTTCACATCACACCCACTAGCCTCACTTTTAAGACTTTAACTAAAATAACACACGTGCAAAGGTGACCATATGGTGGCAAATACATCATGTATACCTAAAACAGAGCCATTTTCTGATAAGTCTTAGCTACTCTTCAGCAATTCTACCCAAAAGCCGCGTTCACTCTTCACACTTTAACTCCTATCATCATATAAACCATACAAGTTAAGCAAATAAAACATAAAAAAACTAACAATTTCTTTACCTTAGTTGCAAGTGATGTAAAGCTGTGTGAAAAGCAATAGTTTTCCTGCAGCTGCACGTCCTTCCGTCGGTTTATTATGGAAATCAAGCCGTGTCAGTAACCCGCTCTCTTGTTGATGTCTGCGCCTGTGGACCGGACTGGATAGTTGTGGACGTATTGCGCATGCGTCAAATCCACTCCTCCATTTCGTAGTGAAGCAGAAGGGTTTTTTTCTTTTTCTTCAATAAAGGCATTTACATAAACGACGTGTGACGAAGCCGTGCGTCTGCATTCTACTGCCCATATAAGGCAGAGAACATTGCGCGGGAACGGGGGCTCGGCCGTGGTTGCTATGGCACATTGGAGAATGTAACCATAGGGGCGGGTCTGAGCTGCTAGTACACACGGCAGATGGTCTGTCTGGTTTGTGGAACAGAGAGGCTGGGCTGCGGGCCTCCGCGCTGCACAGCAGCCGTCGTCTAACCGAGATGCGCTTTAATTTTGAAACTGCGTGTCAACGGATTAGCGATAAATAACCAGTGGCCCAATATGGAGGACTTCATTTTGTGGTCGTTTTCCGGTTACAAACACGCGAACCATTGTTATAATCGATAAAGTGAAGCACTACTGACACTTTCAAATATCTTATTTAATAATATAATATATATATAATATACTGTAAGTCACTAAAGCTTTATTTTAATGCAATGAAAAAGGCCAAACTGCAGCATTAAATGTATTATTAATTTTAAAATATTTTTGTCACATTCATGTAGGCTTATTTAAATTAATGCAGCATTTCTAAAGATGCTAACTTTATATGAGCTTTAACTGTTTACTTTGCACATGGACGTAAAAAAACAGACTGAGGAAAAAACTTCAGAAGTTTAATATAAATTGTCGGATCCCCACAAAGCAGAATTGTATATATAAACCTCATCAAAATGTTTTAAAATCTAACGAGGAGTATTATGAAGTAGTTCAAAGAGGTCAATATTACATACAGTAGACCAACAGAAATTGTAACAACACCAGACATAAAAAGCAGGGGGAGAAGTCTTAAATTACACAATTTACTGTCACTCAGACTTAACAGGGATTAACTTAAGTCTGCAAACAAAGAAAACATTACTTCTGTTGGTGATACAGCTCTAAACCAGACCAAAATGTATGGTGTATTGACATCTTTAAAAGAAATGATTCAAGATGAAAGAATATGATCAGATTAGAGGAAAATATTGATCTCCTGATGGGGAGAAGGAAATATAATCTCTCCATCTTCACGAAGGAGGGATTACTGTATACTACTAGAGCATGAGTGTCCACACTGTTGGCTTGGGAGCTACTTTTACAAATGACCACAACTAAGTGGTCTGTCTACGTTGATAATATTAAATATATTTTTATTAATATGAACTGAATATACTTTATTTATACATATGTTGCTTATATAACTGTAGCTATATGGCACAATATGATTCAGTTCAACTGTTTTTTTTGTTTCAAAACATCCACATTTTCAAAGCAAATATGTCAAAGTATGTAATATAAAAGTAAATATGTGAAAAAAACAAAATATGTAATAAGCCGTAATCTTTAGCCGTCTTTAAATTGCAAATCCAAATTAAACAATTAACCAAATTCACTGTTTTGATCTGCAGGTTAAAAGAAGAAAGACACCAACAGGTTGATCATAATCATTTCATATTTAATGACACATTTCATAAATAACAACTCTTTATTGCTTTCTCTAAACTGTTCCTAAATATTAACAAAGGCTTGGTGAATTTCACGGGAGAGTAAAGGAAACATATGAACCGTTATTTGGGAATAAACATAATATCTTTTATTTTTAAGAGTCTGTGCTGTGCTGTCATGTTTTGCAAAGACAATAAGACAACTTTCCAAAAAGCCAAGGTGATTATCAGTTAAAGTCAATGAAGTGAATCAGTAAAGGAATCTATTGTGTAGCAAAGTAACAACAACAACAAAAAACATCATGCTGACAAATATGACATATACAGTAGGTATGCTATGAGAACAGAGGGTCACAACTCTATCAAAGATCTAATGAAGCATAATATTTACAGTGGTGGAAAGGGAGGGGAAGGAGAAGCACAGCGTTTAAATTATACATATAGAACCCTCTGCAGTGTGTGATTCCAAAGAACAAAAGAATGTTCCAGGCCAGAAACTCCACAGAAAGAGTGGGGTAACTAAACATTTTTGTAACTTATTACCAGAGTATTATTTATACGTTCACATTATTTTTTTTAACATCTGACAGAAAACAAACAAAAATGATTTTGACCATGCATGTGTTTGTGTGAAGTTCAAGTGCAAGCAATGCAGTAGTATTAGGCGAGATGAACTTGACAAAGCGTCAGGTACAAGAAAAGATCTAAGTGGAGAAAATATTCAGATAGGGTGAATAGATTAATTTTTGTCCCTCGTGGAAATTATTGTAATGGTGTTGATGCTTCACAAACATCAGACTGTGTCTTCTAAACCTAAAAGAAATTATGTTTGATTCTTACAGTCATGAACAAGGTGATATGTTTACAGTTGACAATGCTTCAGTCACTGTACTTTTTACTTTCTATGATCAGTTGATAATTTGCGCCTGTGTAAATGTAGAGAGAGCTGAATGTTTCAGCGTTGAAGTTGTGTTTTTTCAGAGTATGTCAGAGTGTCAGAGTGTGTCAGAGATCAACCCCTTTGATCAGCGCCGTCTCCAGGGTGATGGTGAAGTCATTTAGTGTGTGAAGGATGCGGGTCAGGGAGTGCACAGCTGCACCCTCCCTCAGCAGAGCACCCTCCTCATAAGTCCGAGCCGTCAGTGGACACTCCGCCAAGAGGGGGAGCCACTGAGACAGAAGCCGGTCCCTGTCAAAAGAAGCACATCAATTATTCTCTGCTATGTAATTTTTTTTTAATGAACAAAGTACACATAATTAATGAGTTAAAAAAACTTGGTTCTCTTGTGACGTGTTTCGGGCAAAAACTAAGGTTGTTCACTCTCATCTGCAACTCCTGTAAACTCACCACTTCACCACGAGCAAATGACATAATGTTGAATTACAGTTTTTGAGGTGTTTTATTTACATTATATGTCCTGGTCGTGACATATTTATCTGTACCTGTGCCAGTATTGATGACTACTCAAAGAGCTTGACAGTCCTCTTCTTTCCCCCCTCACATGTGTATATCACAGTACAAGCAGCGTCATAATAATTCAGGACTGACAGTTTGCGTCCTGTAACATCATGCTAATGAGATATCTCACCTGATTCCCAGGCAGACAAACAGCTGAAATTTCCCCTCCTTTCCAATGTTCCTTGGCGAGGCGTTGATGGCATTGACGTAGTGACACAGTGAGACGCATGCAGGAGCCTTTATGATTGCTGAATCCTGCAGGTCACTCATCTGATCAACCTCCAAGAAAACCACGGCCTTCTCTGTAATAGTTGTCATAGTATTAGCACATTGTATAAATGCAATGACCTAGATTAAAAAGTTGGTAATTTGACACAAGTCACTTTTAGTTTCACTAGATATTGGCAAGAATCAGACCGCTGAATATAACTAAACCTTTAATGATCTAAACTGGGGTGTCCACACTTTTTCAGCTTGGGAGCTACTTTTCAAGTGACACGGGTGAAGTAATCTACCTACATTGAAAACTCTAAATATATATTTACTACTTTGATTAAATGGCTGTAGTTTTATGGCACAATACCGTCTGACTCAATACTTCTAAGGTCCTTACTTTAGCTCTAGTGATTAGCACCTTAAAATAGAATTAAATCTATCATTTAAAATAGTTTTTTTTTTAATATAATTGCTCAGGATCTACCAGCACTTCCTTTGAGATCTACTGGTAGATCCTGATCTACTTATTGGGCACCCCTTAGCTAAACCATCGTGAGGTCATACCACCTACCAATAAAGTCCCAAACAAACACATTTCTTTGGAAAAGTCGGTTAGATTTGAAGCCATGCTGGAGAAAACTTTCCAAAGACAGCACCAGCCCTCCTTCACCACACAACAAGACCGTCAGGTTTCCTCTCTGAAAAAAAAAAAAACCCAAACAAATTAAAACAGGGATTTAACAGAGATACTATAAGGTAGTGGTTCTCAATTTAATTTCTGTCTCGCCCACCTTGTTTTCACGTCCTCCCTCCCCCCGACCCACACCCCATGTAAATTAAAATACTATTGAGAACCTGATAACATGTATATTTTTATATGTACAAAACACTGCCTCAATCATTCTCCTAGGCTTAGGTCAAATAGATAGTACTTCTCAAACAGTGGGGCGTGGTGAGGTGCCGGTCACTAGGTGGTAGCAACTCATACAGTGTTTTGTACAGAAATATACGTGTTATCAGGTTCTCAATAGTATTTACATTCGTGGGGGTGTGGGTCGCAGGGATGGAGTGGGGGGGATTTGGCGGCGGGAGGTATGTACCTCTTGTTCAGGCTTGTGGAAGTGTTTAACCAGATTATTGGCTGCCTCCCTCATGCTCTCTTGTACCTCAACAGACAGCAGTCCTGACAAAACAAATGAAGGACAATAAAAAAATAGTAACACAAGGACAAACACAAGGTAATGGGAACAGAGAATGAACTAGAAATGATGATATAGGAGAAGAGTCTGTGTGCATGCTCAGCTCGCTGACAACTAGGTCAGCTATTGTATGCAAGAATGGGAAATTTGACATCACATACTGCCTCGGCAGCTGAGTGATCCCAGCATTGTCCGTACACCCTGAGACGGAGAGGCCAGTTCTGGAGGTGTTGCTGACCACCTCCCTGAGTCCTCCTCTGCGCCAGGTGTCACCAGTTGACCAATGAGAACTCTTTCCAAGCTTCCGTCACCCACACCTTTCCCCAGCCATCGACCACAGGGAAATCTATGTGGACACAGGACACAAAAATGATTTATATAAGGCAGACTGATAGATGGATCGATTGATAGCTTTCATTCTTCCATACAGTACATGTCATAAACTAATGACATTAGTTCATGCTGTGCTTATGACGTATGGATGAAATATAGATTTCACAGGATATTTGTGCATTTTATATTTATTTATGTATTTATTATAGCTATACTTTCAGTCCCCATTTTGTCCAAGAGAAAATCATTTGTATCAGTTCTGGTTCCTTTTGGCTTTTATTTGAACAGACAACCAAAATAACCAGACTATTGAACGCACCTGAATATAAGCCCCACCCACTAAATAAAAAAAATAATTGTACATATATAGGCCACACTTCTCTATAAGCCGCAGGTGTCCACGTTATAATGTGATATTACACTTTTATTTAAATAAAAGCCTTTTTCTGAACAGTGCCTGTAACACGACTGGTTACACATCTTGGTTAACTCTTTTCTGCTTTGGAGCCCCGAACGTAGTTGGAATACACAGCCCAAGCTGGGGCTCTTTTGCTAGTCTGTAAAAATCTATAAATTAGCCGCATCATTGGGGTTGTACAGGGTTCAAAGCGTGTCCATAAAGTAGCGGCTTGTAGTCCAGAAATTACAGTATTTTTATTAGTGAAGGCACTTATTATTTACCACATCATTCATAGAAGACAAAGGTTCCTTCAGCATCTTTGTCTCCTTCGAGGTACTAAACAAACTACTTATGTAGTACATCAACTATATTTTACTGCTGCTAATACGCATGATCACAGAGTGTAAGGCCACGGTCAGATGTGGTGGTCTCACCTGTAGGTGTGTCCAGTGATCTCATTGTACACCATCACACAGTCAATCAGACACTTGGCCAGCAAACCAGAGTTTTCCTGCCCCAGCTGCAGAGTGCTCAGTCTGCCCAGGTTCTTGCACTGTAAAATGAAGTACAGACCACAGTGTGAGGACTCTTTTTTCCTTCCTTCATTTATTGTGTAATATTGTTGATGTGTTAAGTTGACCTGGAAAAACATCTCTTGTGTGTTTTTTGGCATTTGTCTTATTCCTGAATCCCCCAGTTCTCCTGACACACACACCCAGGGGTTAACAGTTGCCATGGCAATGCTCAGCTTCTTCATGGGAATAATCACAACACGGTATGGAATACCTGTACAATAAATAGTAGAAAAAAGCAGTTTAATAGATTATATACAAATTTTATTTGTATTTGTGCAGAAGGAAGGAGGTAATTTGTGAAACCATGAGGCAACGGTGAAGAGTTTTTAGTGTCTTTTGTTGTGTTGGGAAGTATACAACAGGCCACAGACTTTTATTTTGATAGGATTCAACTCACTGATGGAGGTAAAGATGTGAGTAAAACAGAGGTAATCCACAGTGTTGAGAGATAGCAAGTGGAACAAAAACTGCTCCCTCTCTTCCTCACACAGCAAGAAAGCATGCGGCTTATACAGCTGCCTGTCAGGAGAGAAGAAAAGATATGTTAGAACGTTTGAAGTTATGGCTGAAAACATAAATACAATGCTGTAAACGTGGCTTAGTTTCTGACTTGAGCAGTTTCTGGTTTGATAGGAGTTCTTTCAGGTGCTGGGAAAGTGACTTCTTCTCCAGGCCCAGATGAATCCAGGCTCGGGCCTGAGCCAACTCAGACATCCCTTTACTCATGGTCTGAATAAACCTAGAAGAGTAACAAACAGACCAGAGAAGTCGACATCAACCTCTTATGTACCTATATATACCAGTTGTTACACCAGTGTGTGGCAAGTTTGTTGCCTTACAAAAAAAATCAATATCAGTGGGACTTACATACATTACATACATTTTGCAAATTATTAGCTAACTAAACATGGAGCAACAAACACTGGACCACAAAATTAGTAGAATTAGAATTAGTTTCTTTTAAATTTCACTTTAGTTGGTCTAAAATGAGGTTTTCATATGAGCCCCAGCAGCAAAATGCCCTTCTCTATTAAAACTTTACCTAAACCTGTCCTTCTGGTGGTGGAGTCCACAGATAGTGTACATACAGTATGATACTTATACGCCTGCTGTGCTTACCTCATATCCTCTATTAAGAATCCTTTCATGGGCAGCGCACCTTCATCGTCTGTTTTCTGCTCTGATCCTACAAAAGCAGCCATTTTAAAAGCAATGATTAGTTGACATTTAGCAAAAGTATTTGCTGAAGAAAAACACTTCAACAGATGTGCTGTGTCCTGACCTGAAGACTCTGCTGGCACCTCCGTCTTCCCCTGGGCTGTCTGGTAGTGTAGGAGATGGGACCAGAGAGCAGACTTCCCCTGAATGAATTACACAGAGATCACAGTGTCATTTCTCTGTGTTCACACAAGAGTGCAGGTTCAGTCAATAGCGCTGTAGTTCACCTGTGTGACTAATGAGCTCTGACCTGTTTAAGCTGCAGACCATGACCCCAGGTTCTCTCCAGTAAGTCACACAAGCCATGAATGAGGGTGTTCTCCTGCAGACCCGTGATGTTGGCCTCTCCCGGGCCGAGCTCCACACTTTCTTTCCCCATCCTCTCCATCAGCATCCGTTTAGTCTATGGTGTCAGAATACAGAACTTGTGTTATTATATGTTATTATAATTATTTATACTATATTATTTCGTGGGTTTTCTCCAGGTCCTCTGTTTTTCTCCCAGAGTTTAAAAGCATATAGAGTAAGGTCATCGTTCACTTTATACTTTACTTTATTATTAACAATTATTTTTTTGCTTCAAACTTTTGAGTTCTTTTTTGAAATAGATAGGGAATTGTTTTGAATCATCCATTCTTAGGGAACTCCTCATAAAGGGTAGATGAAGAAACGAGGCTGCAACCAAAGAGCTACTGCTGTTAGCTCCACGGTATTACTTTAAATCAGATCAATACAAGACCTTGAAAGTGAGATTCTAAATAGCTTCAATGACAACACCATCACTATCACCATACACAGTGGGACTGCAGTTACCTTCAGGCGGCACTCGCTCAACAACACGTCAACAAACTCTCTGTGAGTCTGAGAGACAGCTTGTGGTGACGGGTCGAGTAGCGTGGACTGGTGAAGGTGGTTCCTTGTGAATGTGTGCTTCTGTTAAACAGACAGAAAGACAAAGTATCTGTGGTAAAAGCTTCCTGGAGTCCTTGGGAGCAACCGGGTGTGCGTTTGTTTATGGAAAGGTACTTGTCTCTGTCCAGTGTCTGCTCCTGAGTGATCATTTGTCGTTGATCTTCTAGGCTCAGCCTTGCGCGACGCTGTCACACGACTCGACCGTCTGTTCAACCAAAACAAAACATAAATTCACACACGGTGTGAGGTTCTAATGTACACTTACTGAGTTACGTATTAGATCAGATTGAACTTTACTGCGCACACACTGGGGAAGTTGTAAAATATTTATGTAAAAAAAAAAAAAAAACACCCACATATATATACACATATACTTTATTGTAATTACAATGAGTAAACTAGTATTGGTACCACTGAAAGAGTGCATACATCTCTGTGAGTTAGCCACCAGTAGCCTGCCTTTGGTTGAGAATGACATTTATTGTTAGCCTAGTGATGAGCACTGAACAGAAACTCACTTGTTGGTGTTTTGTCCTTGTGCGAGCACATCAGCCTGTAGTCTGGGGAAGTGTCCAGGGTGGTGGCGACCCTGGCCAATCCTCATGTCCAGCAGGTGGGGGTGTATCGCTGTGTGGTCAGCCTTCAGCAGTCGGCACTCAGTTGCCTGGGCTGCAGACATAAACACACATTTACAGTCAAGCTGTGATTATAATTATTTATGATCAAGAGCCTAAAAAATGGACTAAAGGATAAATACTATTGTGAAGCTTATTTTACAGTAATTCTTTTACACCTGTTTTTCATTTTTTAATTATACGTCACATTTTGATTGACATGAGTCATCATTTTGTAAGTATTCTTTGCAGTCCTACTAGACCCAATCCTCACCTTTAAAAAATAATTTTTAAAATAGATTTAAATTGATATTGCTATGGGTCAAATGTAGTTTATGGTGATATATTTTATATATATATATATATATATATATAAATATATATTTAACCATTATATATATATATATATATACATATACATATATCACTTAACATCCAGATGTAAATATGTGACAAAAAGAAATATTATATAAATCTCAATCTTTCACCTAATAATATTAAATTGTTGAATTAGTTTAATTATGTTATGATTGTACTGGTCTGGCCCACTTCACATCTAATCAGGTTGTATGCTGCCCCTGAACCAAAATGACTTTGACACCCCTCTAATCCAATCCACATCCAAGTAAACAAACAGTACCTGAATCACAGAGTGTGAAATTTCTCCTGGGGTGACAGTTCTGTGAATCCTTGTCTGTCTCACACAGCCGCTCTTTTTCCAGCCGATCGTCAAACATCTGCTGCAGTGGATCTCTGTCGGCCCAGCATGATATTACTTTTCCCTCCACGAAAGATGAAAACATGGATGTTTCCACGAACCGAGATAAGAAACGCAAGTGGGTTGTAGGTTGAACCGAGAGGAAGGAGCCCTGAAAAATTATAAAGACATACATGAATGAATTTAAGATAGAAAAACTGCTCCAAACTTTGCGCGCTGAGGTCCACTGACCTTATCGAAGCTCAACATCCCCTCTCTGTTGCTTAGCCAAGAGTCCAGATCCAAAGCGGTATGAATGACGAACTCCTCGTACCTTCCGAACATTGTGGCTAGACGTCCGGCAAACACCTCCCTCAGGTGAATGTTCAGTTTAGCAGCCCTCAGCATTTCCTCCTGCTCTTCAAACACACGTCTCAGCGTCTTCTCACCGTCTGACACTGGGCCTCCACCACAGCCTCGTGCAAGAGCTTGTAGCCTTTCCAAAACTGCCAGCTCCTCTCCTCCAAGGTTTCCATTTCTTCTGTCCTCCATCAAATCCTCAAGGACCAGATCTTCCTTGCAGGGAGAGATGGAGGTGGTGATGGTTTTAGGTTTGGTGGTAAAAAATCCAAATTTTTGTAGAACCTCACTCAGTTCCTGGATGAGCTCAGTTTGGTCTGGAAACAAAGGCAGATCTTCTGGGACTTCAATGCACTGGTTGTCAATGTCTACAAAACACAGGTTTGCCTGTGGAGAAGCATGGGACAAACAGTTTCATTAGACGACAAATCAAAAGCAAGAGTAGAGTTGATGTTTTTTCACCCCTGTTCTTAGAGTGTATTCACTGTAGAGCCAGTTGCCCCCCAGACCCTTACACCTCCAAGTCCCACACATAACACAGCCCACCTTTTCCAACTCTACCACAGCAAGTAAGTGTGCCCGACCCAGTACACTGCACTCAAACTAGCCATAGAATCCCGAGGAGTGCACCCTTACACATTAACATTAATAGACTTAGTTCAAAACTGGCTAGCCTTGAATACTCTATTTTGTGTTAAAATAAAATGATTTTTCTAATATTAACTTTATTTTCTAATCTTCAAAATATCGCTCCTTTGTTTTGGATTTCTACAGCCGCACCCTGTCGTAAATCTGTGTTTGTTTTTAGGTAGTGCTTCAGCAGCAGCAGCAACAGTAAAGTCAGCAGTAGTAGTAAGTGACCTTAAGAGTCAGTTTACACTAGGCCTCATGGGAACCTGTGACGTGATCTGTGAAGTAGAAAGAGGTCAATTTTCTTGGACATTTGGTACTAACAAGGTCTTCGTTTTAAAGTGTGTTTAAAGATAAAGACAAAATAGTATTAGCATTAATGACGAACAACAATGGTGAGGATAATAAATCATCTGAGGAACTGCTCAGATAAAGATAGATTTCTGTGTATTTTTTTGCAGACTGAAATCTATCCACAAATACAACACTGTTTTGTTTTAACCAAAAAAAAAAGTAGTTTGTGTTCTTGTGATAAATTTTAACCGATGTGCATATGTCCTATTTCCTTCAAATTGACAAACTCACTGTCATTAATAATTCAGTAAGTGTTTATATTCCGGAGCCTCTGTGTCTATGCTTTTATCTCCCTGAAGCGTTTTTTTTCTGCTGCCTGTTTTCTGGGACAAAGCGACTTCAAGGAGTGAGATTTTTATGCGGAATAATGTGTTCTCGATTGTGGGACAGGGTTTTAAAGGGGGTGCACAGATCTGAGAGGAGGAACCATCCCAAATAGGACAGGAGGAAACAAATCGTCAGTAAAATAAGAGACCAACAAAAGCTCTCAGACAGGAGAGAGTGGGTATAACGTAAACAAGACAAAAAAACTAGTTTTTTTTAATGTCGCACCTCATGTGGAAGGTGAATAGAAGAGCGCTGCATCCCATCTCTGCGCTGAAGCCCCATCAGGAAGGGCACTGGTGCGTCCAGGAGATGGAACAATGGCCCAGAGACAATAGGCAGGTAGATGTGCTGCCACTGGAACGGAAACAGTAGTGTGGTGACGCACTCCGCCACTGTCATCAACCGCTGGTAGTCTGGTGAAAAAGCATGGCAGGAAGGAGGAAACTGGAACATTAGTGTAAGCCGTACATATTCAAATATATGAGTTCAGGCTGAGCAGCAACTACAGGAAAAAGGCTGATTCCGAATTTTTTCAGTTCTTCAATTCCTGAAAAGTAACATCTCCAGAAAGTAAACATCTTGCTGTTTTTCCCAAACAGAAAAATGTTAAAATCGTATCGTGATCAAAAAAAAAAAGTGAATCGTATTGTGAGTTGAGTGTATTATCACATACATCTAGTGACAATGTAACAGCGAAAAGATGAAAGTCAAGGACGTCGTAAACCGAGCACCCTCTGTATTTGTTTTGTTATAAAACAGTACTTCTCAAATACTGGGGCGGGCCCTTTGGAGGGGCGCGGTGAGGTGCCAGAGGGGGTGTGAGGGGCTTCCAATGGAATACTGCACGCTGGACATAAGTGTACCACTGCTGTAATGCTTGATGATAACAAGCCTCTAGTCAGTAGGTGGCAGCAACTCATGCAGTGGTTTGTACAGATACAAATATACATGTTATCAGGTTCAAAATAGTATTTCAATTTGCCGGGGGTGGGATGGGTGTGTGTGAAAACATTTCTGTCCCCAAGGGGGGGCATGATAGAAAATAATTAAGTACCACTCTCATAAAACGACTAATGATCTCACCTTCAAACTTCTTCACGACCTAATTAAAAAATGAGAGGTCCTCTTTTAATTTTTCAAAAAATGTCAAGCTAATCTGTTTACCTTGAGAGAACAATAGTAGCTGTGTCTCCAAAAAAGCACAAGTCAGCAGTTGAACCATGTTGCTGACACCCAGGAGGGAGAAGGCTTCTCCCAGAGAATACTCTGCCAGAGGAAGTTCTCCCGGACCAGGGCGCTGGCACATGATCGGGCGTTGAACACCATGGAATCTGAGTGACTTGCCAGGTGGAGGCAACGGAACCTCGTAAAGGACATTATGGATGTAGCTCTCCAGAGGAAGAGGTGGAGCAACGTGTGATGTCACAGCTTGGTGAAGCTGAGAGAGGAACTGTCGCGAAGCCTGAAGGAACGGGAGTGGCGTCAGGAGGCAGAGGGCTTTGGACACATACAGCTTGTCACGCACTAGGTCAAAAGAGCCTACGCAGCCCAGGCAACCAGGGATTCCAGCCAAAGACTCAACATCTGATTCTTCCAAACTGCTCACAAGAGAGTCCATGCTGGAGGAGCAGGGTGAGGTGGAAGATGATGTTGAGCAAGAGGGAGAGGAGGCAGAGGAGGAGGACTGGTGCTCCACGTGGTGCATTTGACAGAGAGTCTGCATAGCGGTAATGATATTAGGGTCCGTCACCTCCTCGTAGAACGTGTGGACAAAGCCGTAGGTGCGTGAACCATCATCGGGGGAAAATGTGAAGGAGTGAAACTGAGAATCCAGTTTGTCTGCCTGAGTGCGGAAGGACAGACCCCGCGGCATACAGAGCTAAAACAAGTGTGAAAAGAGAAAGGAAAACAAAAAGAAAAGGTTTAAATTGTGATACATTTTGTAAATTACATTTTTATATACAAGACCAATTCATTTATAAGACTGTTAGGATTTAGTATTACAAGTAATAAATCTCATACGTAGCGATAGAATTTTATTAATTCCTTGGGAGTTCCCTTCAGAAATGAAGTGTCAAACTCAAATTCACAGTGGGCCAAAACTAAAAACTGGGATGAAGTCATCGGCCAAACTTAATATTTTTTGAAAAATTCGCCAAAAAAAGATCACAATTGTGCATGTTTTCCCTTCTCTCCAGATGTAATGTCAATTTTTTTTCATAAGGAACCAAGTTTTAGTTTTGCGTAAACATTGAATTTGGAACAACCCAAGCTAAATATTATAAACACAAACAACAACAAAAACCAGCCAACAACAAAAAAACAAAACAAAATGTAGGTCCTATAACATAGCACATACACCGCTAATACTGCATAAACTGCCAACATATACGGGCTATACAGTATATAGAGGCTATACAGTATATAGAGGCTATACAGTATACTGGCGGACCGACTCTGGTACACATTTGATACAATCTCGGTCAATTATAATTATACTCTGAGCCTGATTTGCCCCTGGGCCTGAGTTTGACACATGTGAGCTATGTCATCAGTTTAGAGTTGATCTACATTCCTCAGTTTCTTTCTTTTCTTCTGCAATAATTCCATTGTTTTATTATTTTTAATTATTTAGTTTAAAAATAGTACGACAAACAGGGAAAGCCCTTTTAAATTCTGAGAAAAAATTCAACAGCCCGTGTTGACAATACAAAATGATCCAAACTGCAACACAACATGAATGGCAATTTATGAAATTTAAATTTAAATAGATATCTCTATTGCTGCTTATAATCACTAATAATCTTAACATTTTTAGGATGAGAATTATTTTATGGCTACTGTGCTAAACCTAAACTGCTAAAAGTAATTTAGCACCAATGTGAAGTAGAACATCTCACCATGTTGATAGCAGTTTTATTAAAAGGGTTTTTGTCCGTGTTTTCGGGGTAGTGCACCAGAACCTTGGACTTGAAGGATCGTCGAATGGGGCTTTGTTCAAAGCTTTCACCTGAGAGACAGAGAGAATGACGACATCACATAAGTAGAAAAAAAACATCAACCCACATCAGCGCAGAATGACAAACATCACGACAGAGGACAAAAATCCAACTGACAGCAGATTTCAATGAATAGAAAAGGCATAACGTGACACACTGTTTCACAACACAGTGTTAATGCCACAGTTTACTTTACAGCTCAGAGTTAAAAGAGTAATTTTCAACACAATTACCATCACTGATCTCTGTAAAAAAAAACATGAGAAAAGTGTATTTACTAAAATTTCCGGCCGTAAAGTACATTTTTGGTTTTCAGCTGAAAAACTTAATACAGAAACAACACGGATGAAACAGGAAATTATGATGATGCAAGCGAAAAAACCGCAGCCAGCACGGGCTTGTCTGAAAGTACCATGTCTGTCGACGTATTTCAATATATCTGAGAAAAACCCACGGATAGCGATGTGCAACACGTGTTATGCTGAAATTTCAAGAACGGCACGCGTTTCACTGAGATGTATGCGCATCTCGTCGCAACTGTACTTTATCCGCATTATAGAGATCATTACTTGGATGCAGGATTAAAGCAGCGCTCACGAGAAAAATGAACCAGGCTGCAATGGATGCGGTGAACCCGCTTGGAGACTGAGAAGTGCACAGAGCAGGAGAAGGAGAGCAGTGTGCCAGATGAGGGGCGGGGACCCTCGATGTCTGATATGTTCTGTGAGACAGAGAGCTCCTCGAATAATAATAGTTATAGGTAGGCAGTTGATTTTATTTCTCTGCTAGACATTTGACAATGAATTATTTTGACAATTATTAATTTATTATGTATTCATGATTAATGTATGCAACTGCAGTGTCTTGATTTCATTGAGGTTTAGTACACAGTCATAGCCATACATGCAATGGTACTAATAATTGGCATAATCATTTCTTTCAGTGTTTTGGTTTTCCGCCTTGGTTTCCTCATTTTTGGTTTTGGTCAAGAATTAGTTTCGGTGCATCACTAATATTTGCTGCAAATATTTTGTCTTTGTTAGTCTGTGTGATGGGCAGAACATTTAAATACTCTCCTAGAATATAATAGTGAGAGACTTAGGGTTGCTGAACAAGATCTTTATGTGTATCTTTCTTCAATTCAAGTAGGAGATCATTATATTTCATTACATACATTGGGGAAACACTGGTCTGGATATAGTGAGTCGAGAATGCTATTATGTCATATTTGACAATATAGCAACAAGAGTGAAAGTCAGAGGTACCGTAGACCATAGATCTATAAAAAGCTAGATCGTCCAGGTCCTCATGGGGAAGCTGGTTTAGCAAATTCCAAAGAGATGAATTGCGGTCATCCTGACTCTACTCTGTCCTGTTTATAAATCTATGTGGTCGACAGAAATTGATATACAGTGGCTGTGTATTCTCAAACTGAGACATATTTTAGACTTTATCCTGTTTGCATTGGAATTTGAAAGATGTATTATTGTGAAAAATATCGCCGAATTATCTTTAAATGAAGAAAGTGAATGAAAACAATGGGAGTGTGTTTAAATCTGGTACCAAATGAGCTATGGTGTGGTACAGGTCAGGAGACAGGTGGTTGAGGACAACCTGGTCTGGAAGACCACCTTGAGACATGCTATAATGATCATTAACTGTTAGTTGGGTGCCACTCAAACCAATTAATCTGCTTTCTGAAATGTAAAGTAATTCTGTTGCTATTTTCCAACTTCTAAATCTGTAAAGCTGTCCAGGGTGTACCCCGTCCTCGCCAATGGACAATTGGGATTAGCTACAGCACCCCAACCCAGAACTCTGCAAAGGGATAAGTGGTAGATAAAAGATGGATGCATGAATCAATACAGTTTTACAAGAGAGGGAGAACTGATCTGAAGGTCATGACATAAAATTATTTTATGTAAATATGAAGTTCTCGTCCAGTGGTCGGACGTATCTACCTTGAAATTAAGAACTCACGTGTTGGAGACAGGAATGACTATTTGCACTGCTGAGAGCTTTCACTGGTTTATGCTCATTGCCATAGTAACAGGGTGAACATGATTTTTCTCATTCTTTCTTTCAGCAGCAACCCCGCTGTAAATTATAATGACGGTCAAATGTAGCCTGAAGAAAGGTGTTAAAATATCTACAAATTAGCATATACAAATGTTACTGCTTTTGCTGTGTAGCTCACTTTTCATATCCTTCATGAATCATCAGAGTTCGTATTTAACGACAGACGACAGAAAGTGACCTCATTAAAGGAAACCGTGTTGGAGGCGGTACCAGGGATTTAATATTAAACTGAGTCAAGCTAGTCGCAGACTGGCAATAGTGGAGGAAGAAGCCAATGTTATCCGTTGAGGACACAAGCGTTAGTACTTGAAGTCAGAGATGTTTAGTTGCTATGGTTACCACATCCTCTATGGGATTTGCCAGCAGTGTCAGCTGAAAATGTTAGCCTTATTTACATTTGCTCTACTTTGGACTTTGTCCCAGCAATATTTTGGGAAATTTTAATTTCTTCATTTTTCAAGAACAGACAACCACTATAAAATAAAATTGTCTGGGGAAAGAATCTTTATGGTATTATCAGTAAAGTAAATCACCTGAGAGCTGTATCTGAATGTTTTAGGGACTAAAAGCATATTTTATCCTTAAAACTTTTTGACTTGCCCTCGTGTTTAAATTTGTGTTTTTTGCCGTTTACAATTTCATCACAGAGATTTATTGCTTTAAGTGACCTTTAATCACTGCACGAGAGCATTTCATCAGGGCAACTGTGGAGCCACATCTTTCAAATTCACTGGACGTCTCATTCATCACATCTCTACATGAGTGGATGAGGTCCAATGTTAAAATTACAGTGAATCTCAGCTGGTATTAACGGCAAAGCAGAAATTCCTATAATTAATCACCTCTGTTTAAATTACTGTGATCGTGCATTTAGGTTTCATCATCCAAAGTTTATTAGGAAAATTATAAATACCCCGATAGTGACACGCTGCAGAATACCCAGGAATGACACTAAAGCCTGGTAATCGACACATGCTAAAAATGGGCTCCCCTAATTTAAAATATATATGATTTAAATACAATAATTGATGGAAACCTACTGAACTTGCAGAGACTGTTGTGTAGTGACTAGCAGCATGATCTTTTACAAACACATTCTTATGGGAAAAAGGGATTTGAGATACAAGGACCTTGAGTTACAAGCTCAGTCCTGGAACGGATTATGGTGGTATCTCAAGGTATTACTGTATACCTGTATAGCATGAAATGTTAAGATTCCTATTGGTGAAAAGGCATCAACATCATAAAGATGCTTCTCAACTGTTCTGTCAGGGAGTGACTGCCCTCAGCTGATGTCATTCCCTCTGACACTGCCTAGGTCTGAAGCAACACTGAAGCCTCAGCCGTCTGAACACAGAGTGTCACGTGATATTCCATTCGGCTGCCGAAAAGACAATGGCATGCATTGAGAACCAAGCATGAGCAGGTTGTGTCTGTGACATGCACTAATTACGCTCAACACACAGCGATATTGTACAACTTCCATGTAAAAAAAGAGACACAGTTTCTAGTGCCTGACAGCACGTCACCAAATACAATACAAACGAGGCCAGAGAACAACAGAGAGAGAAGAGCAGAGCCCCCACTGCTGCGGAGGGGTTTAGATGACCCGATGTTACATAAGCAGATTGGTAGAGATCACACACACTGGCCAACAGTGCTGCTCCCTCACTTCAGGGTCCAGCCATCAAAGGGGTTTCATGTTAGTATCAAAAAGGACAGTTATTTTCAACAGAGCCCAGGCTACATTCATTGCTAAAAAAGAAAACTCTTTGTTTTTGCAAATTTGCCCTAATGTACACCAAGGTGAGGTACACTGCAATCCAGATTCAAATTTTACAGACTTTTATATTTAACACCTTGGATATTGTAACCTTCAACTGCATCTTTATGCTACCTTTAGGCTCGGGGGCATCTGGTAGCCTATGTTCTGAAAATACAGTAAAACTAGTCAACAAGTCAAAAATGTTACTGTTATTGTGCTTTTTGAATCAGTTCCACTTGCAGTGATATTCAAATGGGTGCAATGACCATGTTAAGAAGACCATCTGCTATTGTATGTCCTACAACGTTTTATTATCACATTGTTCTGGACGTCTGTATCAAACAAGTAGCTCTTCGTATTACGAAGTGCCCCTGAAGTAGCTCTTAGTTTCAGAAAGGTTGGTGACCCCTGTGCTTTATAGTCACATTGTAAACATCATCATTCACCAGGAATTTAGAAACAGTCAAATCTAAATGTGACTTTAAATATTTTATCATTTCAAGTTAAAGCTGGAAGTAATGTCAGATAGTGCTGAAATTGTGCACCTGCAAAAAGGTTCCAAACAACACACGGGGACAAATGTCTGTCCTCACCTTGGGAGAAAGAACCAGTGACTCTCATCTCCTTCTCTAAAACCACAAGCTGCTATAAATAAAAAATACCACAAGCCTCTCAGACAAGGAAGCATCAATGCAGATGTCCTCTCCATGGCAACCCCCACATCACAGCAGCACAGCAGCAAACCTCCTGATGCCGAGCTCACTGATGTCACTGTCCCGCCTGCAGAGTGTTGTTGACCCTCGCATGCTACATTGCTAATCCCAGTGTGACCACTATGTCCTGCTTGTTTTGCACATTTATTCAACGTGTAGCAGTGAATGACTTGCAGAAAACGGCAACACTAGATGTACTGACTGTAGTAGATATAATATATTTGGGCCACAATAAAAGAACAGTTATTTATTATTGATTTATGTATTGTTTAGGTTATTAATTCTTGTTCAAAAACATCAGATGGCAGTGTGATCAGGTGGTGATCAGATATTGTCAAACCTTAAAATTATATCTAAGAAAACAAAGATACTTCCGTGTCAGAAAGAACTACAGGTCATACTACATCGTTTAACCAAAATAATTTTGGGTTCATAAATAAATGAACAAACAAACAAAATGTTCTGATTTGGTGAATAAATACTGATATATTATGGTAGCTCTAATACAAAACAATATTCTTGGATGATAGCGTAGAAAATAATTTCTGGTGTATTTCTCCCAAATGGAAGCAGAACCTATGAAAACATAAAACAATATAGTGTAAAAAATAATTTAATTTAAACAGCTTCTATTTGAACGGTAATTATCGGTTCTTTTGTTTTTATGCAGATGTGGTTTCTTTCCCACCCAGAAATGAAGGCTGTTTTCACGTTTGTCTGGAGAAAGGTTCACGTCAATATTAAAAAATATCTGACTAATGCGACGTTATTTAACAATGACCATTTGAATTTTTGATTATTTTTTTTTTACAAAAATCGAAATAATTTAAATACATAACGTATGTCTACGCAGACAAATTAGTCTTGTTGTATTGTCAACAACCATTTAAGAAGATAATGTATCGATATATGTTTTCCATTTAAGCAGCTGAAAACGATGTCGAGTAAAACCCATTTAAAAAATGACTTGATTTGTGAAACGCGCGAATTTATATGTCACGACATTTGTCTATTCCCCTCCGTGTTTTGTGGACTATCTAACCTGCTTCATCGTTCGGCTCCAGGCCCGTGTCCGCGTCCACGCCACACACAACAAAATAGTGGGCGAAACGGCAGGAAGAGGCCGTGGACCCACTGGACGCTGAGGTGCTGCTCATCCTCGACGCTGCTCCGGTGTCACGGCTACGTTTGGCTCTAACGGCCGTCGCCGGTGTTCATAGCTGACGTCCAAGTATTTCTCTGGTCCCGCTCGCGTGCAGTCACTGATCTGCGATGTCTGTCTGAGGGAGTCGGTGATGAACCAACCGTGGTCATCCGGTGTGATCAGAGGGGGGAGGAGGCTGTGAGTGAGCCTGAGGGAGGAAGGAAGAGGGAGGGAGACAAAGGACCCAAATGCATCATCAACCTCGTTTAATACAACACTGGTGATGGACATAACTTCCCTTTTTAGAAAGAGCTTTATATATATATATATTATATATATATATGTTCACGAACCTACAAAGTATGGTAATTTGATTATTGTTTTCGGAGGATTGAACTCCAAAATTCACCTTTCACTATGGGGGCAGTGTTCTTTGGGTTAAATACTTTCCTAATGCAATTTTTATGACAGTAGTTCTAGTTTGGTCTCCTCTGACCACAGGATATGGCTTCAGTACGGGTTACGTTTCTACAGTTTGTCTATGTCTCATGTAGCTAACTCTGGCTTGGAGTTTTCTGCTTCTCTTCTTGGTCTCCGGCCTTTCAGTCTACGCTTTAAAATATGGGAGGTCAAATACAACAACTACTTTAAGAAGGCAGTGTATATCAATATATTTTATTGAACAGAAAACGTCACATTTTAAAAGGCAAAGTCCATCATTAAATATAAGTATCCAGTCAATATGAAAACCATAAACAAACTACAAAGCAGGTTGCCTGAGAATTATTTAGGTTTTAGGTTAAAAGTCAGTTTCCAAACATTAAGAGTGCAACATTTGTATATGTCTGGATCAGTTTTTCTAGGTTTACATTCTTGCAGTAAATCTACATTCTGTGATAATCCTCAACACCATTTTGAAGTTGCATCAAAAGTGAGTTGCAGGGTCCAGTTTCAGTCCTCTGACTAAAACGTGTATTCATCTACATATCTTAACACGGTAAGGTTTCCAATCGTTGTCCAAAAGCTTATTTTGAAACACAACATTTCCAGCCTCTTTTAATGTAAACATCTGCTCTGTTAATAATAGCTGTCTGGAAAACAATTGCTTCAGTGCTGACATCCTCTTCCTGTGCTAACTTCAGCTAATCTCTAGAGAAGGCGTGGGCAAAGTTTTTGACTCGCGGGCCACAATTGTCCTAAAATTGAACAGGGGGGCCGGGTCAGGAGCAGATAGATGGAGCGTTCATGTGAATTAAGATAAATGACATGTAAAAGTCTTGCATTAAAGCTAAAATGCTAAAATGCTTTTATCATGTTCTATGCCATCTATTGGGGAAACTTGGCTATTGCAGGGAAAAGGCAGGGATTTATTTATAATATAAATAAATATAATTTGGAAAAAAAAGCTAAATGGGCCGCATCCGACCCCCAGTTTGCCCATGCCTGCTCTAGAACTTTGTACATATTTTTTGGACCAGATGAGACATTGAATGGCAGTTGTGAAGGACTCTGTCCATGGACAGAGATTACAGAGAGATACCCGATTACAATTATGAACCCAGGGAAGGCAGTTTTCTTTTTAGAAAATTAAACTTTACTTTGGTTTTCCTGATATCATGTTTCTTTTGTAAAATAAATACAGAAACTAAAATACATAGACCACTGAAATCCAACATATCAATGAAATTTGACGTTATATGGCATGGTACACTAGGTACTAAGTATTAGAGCTGTAGTATGACAGCCCGTTACTATGGATCGAATACTTGCAAATCAAGAATCCCTCTCTGCTCTACCAGTAGGTGTCACTGTGAACCAGGGGAGGGGAGTTGTTAGTTTGTAAATTATACAAAAAAAACATGGCAGTGGATTGGGATTCCAGTAAAATATAATCAGAATAAAGGATTGCAGTTCTCTGGATAGAATGGCACAGTCAATCAAAACTGATATATTGACAGAAAAGAAAAAGAGGGAAAAGTTTATTTTGATCTTTGATTATATTCGCTTACTTCCTCCCTAGTTTCCCCCATTTATCATGTATGTGTATAACTGGAAAATATGCTAAAATAGATGGTGATGTAAAACTGCTGAAAAACTTCAACAAAAGAAATAAGGATCCAAACATGAAGGGGCGTGGGGAGGGCAGAGACACCAACATGTCTATGTCAAGATCCGGGCCACCTGAGCCTTGACCTCTCCATCAGGATGTGAAAGTAGCTGGACCAATTTACTGTGAAGCTGAGAGGATTCATCCAACAGGACTCTGAAAAGACAATCCCGCCTTCTTCTCAGTTCATCTGCCACCTGGGACGAGGGTCTCCAGGCCTTCAAATTCCCTGCAAACGTCAGCAGTCTCAGGAGCACGGGCTGAGCCGTTTTGGCGTCAAACAGCAGCAGGACAGATGCTGGAGCCTTGGGCATGAAGCACACAGCGAAACTTAGAGCAACGTCACAATAGTTTTACAACAAAATATGGCTCATTGAGCATTTCTACAATAAGAACTATACTTTTAACTTCTTTAATTCTACCTGAGCTTGAACAATGTCATCCATCATATCTGGATTTGAGGACAAATTTACAAGGACCTTCAACGCCTGCACCTAAAAAACAAAGAGAGTTTACCATTAGGATCCTAACATGTTTCATTTTGCGAGATTAGGATCCTAACATGTTTCATTTTGCAACTTGTTTTTTTTATTTCTTCAAATCTATTCCAAGTATCACATTATTGTTATTTTGTATCATCATAGAAATGTAAGGCACCGTGAAATCGTTTACAAACCTGCAATGCTTCACTGCCCACAACGAGCAGAGACAGTAAAAGAGTGACTGATTGTTTCAGCAGATGTTGGTGTTTGTCTGTGACTGAGAGGTTTGTCAAAAGTCTGAGGGCACTCAGCTGAAGGTCAGAGTTCATTTGTGACATTTCAATCAGTTCCAGCACTTGTGGCACATACACCTAAAAGAAACAGCATTTAGAGAAACACGGCTATCCAAAAAAAGTGGCATAGACACATTATAATGCACTATTAATTTGAGAAAGAATGATAACAGACCGTTAGTTGCTCCTGATTTTGGATGTTCATACAAAGGTTGTTTAAAGCGTTCAGAGTCTGCACTCGAACATCTGGTTCAGGATCGCACAGGAAACCAGCGATGATAGGAATACCATCAGATTCCCGGATTAGGTTCTGTAGAGAAAGAGAGTGAAGAATTTGACAGTGAGTGAGAGATAACTGACAAATAATAATATACTACAAACAGACTCTTGTCAAAAATCATATGGTCAAAATCCAACTGAGAACTAGCAGAACTACCAACAAATGAACTGTACCTGATTAGAGGTGAAGGCAGCAGAGTTTCCCAGCGTCAGAAGAATCTTACATCTTTCTGATGTGTTATTGCTGCTCTGCAGACATAACAGCAACATTTTCAGGTGCTTGGGCTCCATGTTGCTGGGGGACTGATGAGTGATTTCCCCTACGAACACAAGGAAAACCTCTTAACCTCCTGACACAGCTTTAAGATTTACAATTTTTTTAAAAAAGACGTGGTAATTGCTTACTATTTATTAGAACTGATATTTTTTATTTGCCAAGCATTTTAATTTGCCAAGTTTTATCAAAATGTATTTGGTGGTCACAGTAGTGTATACACATTATATATATGTATAATATATTTTTCTCTTATGACGTATGCAGATTGTTGCGTATGGCTCATTGAATAGTATGGTTACGTTCTTACTAGATGAAGCATCTGAGCGTTGTGGACAGATAACTTGCATTCCGGACACTCTGGCCAGCAGGCTGCCCGGTTGCATAACAGAGTCACTGGGCTGACTGCTTATCCTGTCACCTGCACTTTCACTAGTCACACTTTTCTTGTTCTTCTTGATGCTATGTCTACTGATAAGTTTGTAAATCCCATAGGAAGCTCCAGCTCCGGCGACGATTCCAAGCAGAGCTTTCAGGCTGCCGAGCCTAGGAGTGACGCTGCTGTCTCCCATGTCCTAGTGAGCAGATCTATGCTAACGGCTAACAGCTAACGGCAGGCTGTAGACTTTCTAAAGCGCTAGGAATGAACCGCTTTTGCTTAAATCGATCGTTTTCGAACACGAATCAACAGAAATATCCAAAACAAACAGGTTAAGTATTTCAAACGGCTTCATTGTTCAGTACACCAAGCAAAGAAAACGGAGAAGTTAATGTTGTCATCAATGTTGTGCTCAGTGTTTCCGGGCACCTCTCACTGGCCAATTAAAATCGATTATACAGTGATTGGTCGAGCACAAAACAATGGCTTTCTGTACGTCTCTTTACTTTGTATGAACTCGTAAACGTACTTTCAAATGTGGCTTGCATTTCATAGAAAAATATCAAACGCAAAAAGCTTTAAACATGTTCACATAAAGACTGAGTCGTTGTTGTCCAACAAATAACGCTGGTGAGTTACTAATTTAAATGAGAGGTTTGAAGGTGGGAGGGCTGATGCCTGTAATTTTCAAGATTTTTACTTTTCTGCTGGAAGACCCAAGTGTTACTTGATCAAATTTGTGACCTGTAGGAATTTGCCGTTGAATAGTATAAATCTAAAAGTTGTCCGTCCCTAAGATCGGTTTAGAAAAGGGTGGCCGGCAGGTGTCGCTATATCCAAATGTATCAAACACTTAAAAACACGATACCATTTCAACACAAATGGTTTCATCTGACCTGTGTTTCAGAAAGATGCGGTTTGTTCATCACATTATTGATCTAACAATAAGTCAGTTTTTGCTGACCACTGAAACAGTTCGTTTTCCAGCCAGGAAACAATGGCTTTAAGCTGGCATGGAACCATTGTTATATTTAAAACACATTTCTACCCATTTATATTTAAACCGTGATCTGCGGGGGTTTCCCTTTTTATTCTAGAAAATCTTCAGGATACTTTTCTATGAAGAGCCACATGGTGGCGGAAGTACTTATCTATCTATCTATCGATCTATCGATCTGTCTATCTAACGATCTATCCATCCAATCTATCCATCAGTGTGCTAATATTTATCATATATTAGCAGTGGTTGAAACAAATCAATGGAAACATTTGTCTAAATTATTTATTTGACTTCTAATAGATCAAGATTTGAGCTGGTTTATGCCTGTGTTTTGATAAGTGCATTAATGTATGTATAGATCTTTAAAGCAGAGGAAGTCAATTGCTTAGTTCCTGGGCTGAGTGTGTTTAAAAGGAGCTTTTTATATTCTCTACAAATGGCCAAATAATAACAAACCCATTTGCAAATGCCCCCAGGCCTTGATTCCCAAAACTAAGATGGTATCATTGTATCCTCAGTGATAAAGGATTCTGATTCCACCTGGATGCGGTGTAGTGATTACAGCCAACTGCTATTAGGAAAGATAATTAGGTAAATGAGTGATGCTCCAATAAAACTGCATTGCAAAGCCACATACCCAACAGCACCTCCTGTGTGGCAGCCATTGTGGGTTGCAAAGACTCACACTGTGAATCTCCTGAACGTTTATTATTAATCTGTTTAATCCCACAAATAAACGGTAATTATGCTTTAGATATAAATTCAAAATACGGATAATAGTCTGAAACATTGTTACGGTAATTGGTGAGGAACTCATGATTCAAAATTAGTAGAACTTCAATTAGTATAATACAAAAATAATAATTTTTCCCTACCAGTATGTTATTACAGTGTTGCTGATTGTGGTTCGTGTCTGTCACACCATTTTAACAGCTGCTCAGTGGATTAGTGGATGGAAGACCAAGGGGGGAGACAAAGCTGAGGCAATAACTAGTAATCCTGAGAGTTTAAAACCAACGTGAACTGAATGTTTTTACATGTGGTGGCCTTTACATGTTTTCCAGGGGAAACAAACACTGTACTTAAGAAATGTGTCCAAACTGAAAGTCTTTCCTCTTAACACCACTGTGTACGCCCACTCCTCTGACTCACTCTGTCCTTGTACGCTCAGCATTAAACTCAGTGGTTTGGCTCTACTAGAAAGAATAAGAAAGGAAAGTCACTGTAGTAAAGATGTCATTTTTTATAGACTTAGTTGGTGATTTTTGACTTAACTTAACAATTATAAGAATCTGATAAATGAAGCCTATACAGTAATGTGTTCCTTCTGCTCTGTTTGTTGTTTGTCTGTTTTATTTGGCTTTTTGTGGGAGGTTCGGGTGTTCAGGTTAATCCATGGTAATAATTATAAAATATACAGTAATTAAAACTTTAATGCCGGCATGTTTAAAACTTTAATTTATCAGTTAGAATCCCTGTTTCTTAAGGACGTACATGTAACACAGAGTAAGTGCAGGAGTGGCTTTGTTTGTGATGCAGTTTCTGTCCAACACCTTCAGATAAATAGCGCTCCAACATGACTATGTTTGGAGAAAAAGGGCTTCTGGTTCACTGTTTCCTGAATCGCTGTACCAGAAAAAAAAAAAGTCTGGTTGTACCAGTGTAAGATGATAAACACTTTTTAACACTGAGGTGGACCAGACATGTTCAAAGTGAGCCTAGTTATGTAATAATTGAGTACCGAGGGAGTACGTGACAATCCCATTTTTGGCTTCACACGTGACACACAGGCATGTGAGCTCAATGTTTCAAAAAAGTAGTTCCAAGAAGGGGGATTGCATTGACCCCTGGTTGATACCTAAGATTTATTGAATGTCAATGTAATTGGATATAAAATGGCATCAAGTTCAAAAACCTGTTAAAATAGTTATGTAAAGAAAATGACAAAATATATGGAAGCTAATAAACTGAGTTAAGTTGGAGAATGTCTCCGCCTATACAAAGAGAGTTGTTGTTTGTGAGAAATATTTGTCAGAACTGAAAACACAGTAAATGTCATTTTCTTTAAAGCCGTTATGTAACTTCAGTCATTTTATAATGTTGTCAGGAATACGTTACTACAGTGGTGTCCATAATTTTTTGGCTAGGGAGCTACTATTGAAATGACCCATCTAATTTGATCTACCTATATCATTACTGCTCAAATGCTGGGGCTGGCCGGGGGGGGCGGGGCTGATAACAAGCCTCCAGTCACTAGGTGGCAGCAGCTCATACAGTGGTTTGTACAGATACAAATATACGTTATCAGGTTCTCAATAGTATTTCAATTCGCAAGGGTGTGGGTCGGGTTGGTAAAATTAAAACATTTCTGTCCCCAAGGGGGGGCGTGAAAGAAAATAAATGCAGATGATGTTGCACAGCACTTGTAATGATATCTTGAGCACACTTGAAATTGAATAGCATAGTCTGAATATCTGTTTATTAACCAAACAATAATTTGTTTGTTAACATGGGAATCGCATGGCCTTGATCCTTTACATGCATCGCGTAATTAGGTTTGAACTTAAGTTTCATATGTGTACCACATCAAAAACACACTGAAAATGCTTTCAAATATCTGAATAACGGACATCCTCTAAGTCAACAAATCATATATTCTGAGTATACAAACAGACAAATGCAAAAGCAGCACTGCAACACATAGTTACTCCATCTGATACAGACTATATACTATACTGAAGGGTAAAAAAAGACCAAGAGCATCCAAAACCTTTTAGACGGTCAGATTTCAGGACAGTCTTATGATCTGGTACTTCTGTGGTACCCTCAAGTGACTGGGCTCCAGCTCCTCTTCCACCTCCCCCTGAGCCTCCATCGGTGTATTCCACAACTCCGGGTCTGTTGTATCTTGATCTCCCTTATTCTGCTGCCGATCCTTTGGACACCCTCTGTTGTAGGAATGTACATAATGCTG